CAGAGGTAGAGGTGGACTGCTGAATAGTAACTGGTCTAGGATTTACTATTAATGTTTTATTTTAACTTGGGTCTGGTGACAATCGTCATCAAGTCTCGTCAGCGCCAGTGGCGTTTGGACAACAGCCAAACGTCGGGTTGCCCAAAACGGCGGCCTTTTGACTCTTCCCGTTTCCACGCCCAAGCAGTTTCCCGTAATAATAATTCGTAAGGAAACGTCGCAAACGCATAATAATCACAGGCACCAGTGGACCGCCAGATGCTTATTTCACATCGCATGCCAGATGGGAGGGGGGGGCCTGAAGCAGTGATAAATAGCGCTTTGCTTGACTTATATTTTTAGGATTCATTTTTTTTAAATGCCTTCGTGTAGATTACGTTCAGTTGTCAGTGAATACTGCTTTGTATTGCATGTAAACCGCCTGCCTGACTGCCTTTGTCTTATGCAAAAAAATATGCAATATTTTAGAATGTGTTCTGATGAAAGTTAGCCGTAAAGAAAGCAAACATTTCAAATAACAGCAATGTTTAAAGGACTTTGCCAGCATAATACCGTCATGTATTTTTGTTACCATAATTTTTTGACGGGTTTTTTTTTGTAATCGCTCTTTACGCTGCTGCTTGTATCGCTGCAGGTGTGGTATTAATTTTTTGTTAAAGTATAAATGTCGGAATGCTCGAAAGCAAAGCTTTGTTGTTCAGTGGTTGTAGAGCAATTTTGGTGGTGGAAAAAAATTTGTCCGTGGCCGATTTGATCTCAGGTTTGAGCTGATACAACAACCACCAAGACACGCCATGAGCGTTACATGCGCAGCAATAATGAAGTACCACACACAAACCAGTTGCAGTACACACGTGTGTACTGTACTTCATGTACTGTATTGAGGAATTGTCAAAAGGTTTTTGGAACACAGTTGTGTGTGTGTATATATATAAAAATTGGCCTAACCTTACATGTAGCTTATTTTAAAACAATTTCCTTACATTCTACAGTCAATTATTTGCTTTAATCGTTGCATCAATATGAGACTGTAAAGTTGGCAATGCATCATAATACTTGCCGATGGTTCCTCATGCGTAGTAGCATTGAGCAAATTTAAATTATGCTGATAGCATATGGGAAGCGTTATACTGCGCAGTACAGTACATACATCTACAACTTGTATACTCCATGGTAAACCGTGAAATACATTACTGCATTTACTTTTGTTTGGCCAAGACCAAAATACTTGTGAGAAGTGCACCTTTTTTAAAGGCTTTAAATGTCTGTCTGACTTAAAGCTTTAACATTTTCTAAAGGCGTGGGAGTAAAATGTGTTAAGAGGTTGTTTTTTGTTGCGTAACAATTATTACAGTTTTGTAATGACTTTTTCAAGTTGCTTCCCAAAAACACAACCGTGTTTTCAAGATGTATGGTTTAGCTTATTCTCGAAGCCATATGAGGTAGAACAAAGAATACAGTCGCATGTTTTTTGCTTTTTTTAACACTCCTCCAAATGCCCTTTTGAGCGTGAGAGAGAATATACTTTCTTCCAGCGCGTCTGTGTAGGCAGGGAAGGCTATCCCGTACACAGAGGGCTCAATCCTTGCACCGCGCTAGGACGTTAAGTTAAAATGGAATGGCGGACAAACCTCTTTCAATGCATCCTCCGTTGTTGTTGTTGTTGAATGTACTTGTATTATGATTTGAAAATATTGTAATTTGGCCATCCGTCAATGGGTGGCTGGCAAGCAATCAAATCCAACCAATGCCTTGTCACGTTATGCCCTCTTAAAAAAACGTGAATGATATGACAGGAGAAATGTCATTGCCAATTTTTCGATTTAAAGCTTTCGTGACTGCAGGGATTCATCTTCTTGGTTCTTTCGGTAAAGTGACGTAGAAGGGAAATAATAAAATGATAAAAATAAAACAATAAAATACAATTCTCACGACGTTTCGGCCACAACGCAAGCAGCCGTCCTCAGGTGAAGAACAGGGCTGTCGGAAAGACAGCGTCCGAATGTATTTTATTATGTTTAAATTTTATTATTTCCCTTCTACGTGACTTTACCGAAAGAACTAAGAAGTTCATTGCCAATTGTTGGCGTGTGGCTTATCCATACCGTAGTAGTTGACTGATTAACACCTGATGCTGGGACTGGGAGGACCTTTTGAAACTGCTCATCCTTGCAACCTTCCAGACTTTGTCCCAAGCTTCGGATAAAGCGATAAAACTCAGGAAAGAGAACATTGTTTATATTTTCTTAAAGTTCAGCCCCATCATCATATGCTGGAGGGGGGGACAAGGTAAAAAAAGCACTCTGTAATTTGCAGGTTCTCTGCAGACGTCAGAGGTCCAACGACGTTGCAAGATTCTGAATCTATAAACCACTTGTGTGTGCCAAAGTCTTGTCCAACCGAGAATAACCACTCGACTTGTCCAAAAGTCCCAACACTTGCACTTGCCAGGGCCAGATGTTTCCCCGTCGAGAGTTCTGGGTAAACATCTGGACGAGTCGTCCCCACTTAGCACTTATTTGCCTAAGGAACGGTGATGTATTAAGTTGAAAATGAAGGTGCGATAGTTTTTTTTACACCAATGGATATTTTTACATTGGGTATGGCCCCCTCAACCCCACGATAAAAGCACTCCAAAGCCATTACATGTCTCCACGTGCGCTCGTTTGTTATTGCCTCTCGCGGTTTGGCATTGTGTTATGTACGGTTTGTGTTTAAGAATTATCCTCAAAGCACTTAATACAAAAAAAATATCGGCGTGTATCAAAATAAAGGACTTTGGTAAAGTTCGCTACGCGTGGATGTTTGTGTTTTTGTGCGAGTCGCTTTCGCTGGTTGCTAAACCATGTGGCGTGCAGTCCAATAGGTGGCGGTCATGCTCCACGTGCACCGCCGATTGTCATTTTGCTCAATTGACATTGCTACGTCTCATTTAAAAGCTTAATTTGCAGTTCATATGTGGCACATTAGGAAGGGACCACTCTTTGAATTATATCCTTGTGCAGCAAGGGAGTAAAGTGTGGTTCTGTGAAAGTCCTGATGTGCTGTGCAGTGCATCAATGCATGTGTGTACAGCAGCATGCGATGACTGAGTTGGGCCTGTAGGTGGCTGGCAGGGTTATTGAATAACCGCACTTGGACACCGGCCACGTGGTTAATGGCGACTCGGAAGAATTGCTGTGTGTGACACGTGCTGGTGCATTTTACAGGGTGACGGTGCTGTTCTTCACAAGATTAATATTAACCACAATAAATGTGTCTGCCCTCGATTTGGAGCACCTGCCCACGTCCTTCATTTCGAGTGTGCAACACATATACGTATTTAACATACAAGTTAAGCATATCATATGTATATGAATGCACGGCTATTATAAATTACGTTGCAGGAACTGCGCTCATGATCTAATGTCTAATTTTTAAAGATCCCATTGTTAAACCATAAAAAATTCATTTTTCTAATCAGGTTTTAACGTATTAATTGCACACTGACCCTTATAACTCCTATCTCCCTGGCCTCTCTATGTACTTTGATGAAGGGTCATTGGCCAATGTTTTTCCTTATGAGCTCACAGTATTATAAATGTGTTTAAGGAATTCTTTTTGATCTTAACGGCCGAGCCACCCTGGCAGATATACGCAGCACCAAGATGCCCACGCGAATGAACACAAGAACGCAATGAGTAACCAATTATAACCTTTATTTTGCACGGTTGCTTCGTTTTCAAGAAGAGACACGGTCGGATACCTTCCGTGTGCCGGGTCTCATTTTGTCTTGCGTGCGTTCCTGCGAGGCCGACTTTTTAAGATGAACATCATGGGGGTCCAGGCACAGAGGCGAAGCGACATTTCGCCCGGCTGAATGCACTTCATCTTTAAAATCGGGCGAGATGCCCCCAGCCCCTGTTGCCATCTAACACCGAGTTGTTGATGTCAAGTGAATACTTTCACCCCCAATAGTCCACCCGCGTTTCCATCGGAGACTCCCAGGGGCATCATCTGCCTTTTGCCGAGAGCTCTTCATCAATAGCCAAGCCAATCCGCTGGTGCGCACAGCAAAAAAAATGTCAACCCAGACAACCGCGACATGGCCAATGTTTAAAAGCTCTCTCCTTGGTTTCATGATTATTATTTTTTGGTTAATAAGGACACCACTGGCAATCGTTCTGCACGGTTACGGCGCATGTGAACCTGAGCTGGTGATGAGGCAATATGACATGAACCCATGACAGCTAAATGCCTGGGCAGCTAGCTTGGGGCCGTCCATAAATGACGTCACGCAATTTTGGACGATTTTTGACCCCCCCCCCCCCCCTTTGTCACAAAAGTCAGACTCCCCTCAAATATGACGTCACAAAGCTCTGCCCCCCCCCCCAAAAAATCTAAAACATGCTTCAAATCGCTTTAAACTATTGTCATTGTAGTGCGTAATTAATGTGGCGCTGCACTGATGTTGTTGGAGAAAACATTTATTAAAAAGTCTATTTAATTAAGGAGAACGTGTTGTCTATATTTAAAGTTGCGCATTTTGATGTGACGTCACATTTCTCACCCCCCCCCCCCTCGTCACACATCGTCACAAATGTCTGACCCCCCTAGATGCGTGACGTCATTTATGTACGGCCTCCTTGCTGCGCTCAGTCACGTAATTATTTAGGTTCTTTTTTTTTAATCCACCCCTCATCCCCCGTACTGGTGTCAATTTAAATGCAGTAATACTCGTTGATTTCCGGGCACACGTTACTATGTGTCACTGGTATTATTTATCTGTTTGAGCCCGTTTAGTTTCACTATAAATAAAAGGTCGAATTTTTTTTTTAATGATAATTGGCCGAGGAATTTAAACGTGATATTTTTCTAGCCTTTTAAAAGTTTACATGTTTTACTGTGTTAACGTGATAAAGTGCGTGTTGCACGTGGATTTTAAACGGGCTTCCTCCGTGATGGTGATGATCATCTACGGAAGACCCGCATTGCGTCGAGATGTCTTGAATGGACCGGTATTAGCTCCGGTGAATGTGGTATGGATGACTTCCACTGCAGCTGAGTATCTCCTCCAAGTCCTTCCGAATGACGTCAAACGAAGTCAACCTGTCATATCTGACGTCAGAACAAAGGGGAAAAAACCAATGTAAGTCTATACAGCCATACATTGATGTTCTATAGCAGTGTAGCATTCGATATTCGTCCTTGGCAAATGCTCCACAGTTCGTTACTGTGTATATGTGCCAGATGTTTATTGATTTTAACAGCGACAACCGATGGTACTCTGAGGAACAATTAAAGCGTGGCAGATTTCGAAAGTGCAAACTGCACCGACATCACGATCGCAATGTGCTGGCATCGCATTTAGCAGCAACAACAACAACGATTCACAATTGCACAACACTAATCACGTACCACCATGTGAGAAAGGAATACATAATCCTGCAAAAAATGATTCTGACAATCTTGATTTGAAGCTTTCGTGACTGCAGGAATTACTCTTTGGTTCTTTCGGTAAAGTCACGGAGAAAAAATAAATATCACGACGTTTCGATTGCAACACAATCAACCGTCGTCAGGTGCAAGATCGGAGAGAGACACATACAGAGAGAGACAAACAGACACGGAAAGAGATATAGAGAGAGACACAGAGAGACACAGAGGAGAGACACATAGTAATATTGACCCACGTGAAACCTCAGTCAGGGAGCGATGTTGCCATTGGCAATTCCAATGATCGTAGATGTTGAATTAAATTAACGTTGGTCAAAACATATTACGGTCACTCGTGTAATAATGGATGTATAGATGGTACGCTACTGAGTTTGTTATATACTGTACAGTAGGCATTTCCTGTATACATCTGTCTTCGAAAAGTTCGTACCTGATGATGGGGCGCCCCAGATGGTTCACCAGGAACTTGTCAAAGTTCCAACGGAGGTCATTGGCCCGCAGTGGCTTCCAGAAGATATTGGAGACATCCTCAATTTTGTTCACCACCTCCGTGGTGGAGTCCTGAGGAATTCGTGAGACGCAAGACTGAGCCGCTACCGACCTCCAATGAGCACAAGCCATGCACGGGGCTCTTGATGCGCAAGTCACGTAGAAGGGAAGTAATAAAAGAATAAAAATAAAACATAATAAAATAATTCTCACGACGTTTCGGCCACAATGCAAGCAGCCGTCCTCAGGTGAAGACCAGGTCTGTTTTATTTTTATTATTTTATTATTTCCCTTCTACGTGACTTTACCGAAAGAACCAAGACGATGAATCCCTGTAGTCACGAAAGCTTTAAATCGAAATTTAAACAACATTTCTTAAGAGTGGTGTGTCTTAATATGGCTGTTCGTGGTTCCAGATTCAGAAGGCAAGAAAATCTGCGGCAGATCTTCCAGTCTCTGGCGATATGTGCAGGTGAACGAATTCATAATTGAGACACAAATGCAGTGTGCGGTAATGGTGATAATGATCATGCTGCACCAGATCTGGCAGTGCCGGATTATCCTAGTAGCAAAGGCTACGGGCCCCGCACTTTTAAGGGCCCCGCACTAAATGCTTTCAAGCTATCAATTCCGGTTCAGTGATTCTGCACTTGCTCGATTGCTATAGTACTCTTCTTGGTTATTTCGATAAAGTCACGTGGAAGGGAAATAATACAATAATAAAAATAATAAAATTATTCTCACGACGTTTCGGCCACAACGCAAGCAGCCGTCCTCAGTGGACGGCTGCTTGCGTTATAATGTTTTATTTTTATTATTTTATTATTTCCCTTCTACGTGACTTTACTGAAAGAACCAAGAAGATGAATCCCTGCAGTCACGAAAGCTTTAAATCGATACTATAGTACTATACTGCCTTAAACTTTTATGAACGACTGGGTGTTTTAGGTTAGCAATTTGTCGTATTATCTGGCTGTATAGCAAATGAAAAAATACAATTACTTTACTATGCAAGTAAAAAATTGTGTTTTCATATCTACGTCTTTTTTTTAGGGCCCCTTTATAACATATGCTACAGGCCTCGCACTAGCTTCATCCGGCACTGAGTTCTGGACTCCCACCAGACCAGATCCCCTGGGAGGCGAGGTGGGAAACGTGTGTCCGTCTGTTGGAGAAAGCATTGATGATGATGAAGCCACTACCAGCGCATTTCTGACTTTCGATGAATCCACTCGCACACGTTATTACCCGAGACTGGAAAACCTAAGGCAGACTTTCTTACCTCCTCAACCTGGAGCTAAACAAAATGCTACTGTTCCAAATTGAACGGATGTGGCCCACAGATTTTACAGACGACATCCCATACCAAAATAATATAAAAGGGGTGTCTGCAGATTACACAAAGTGGATGCGTGAAGGGGATGTGATTAAATAAAAGTTATTGTTGCGATGAACTACGATGAGTCGTGTGATCTTTACTCACATTTTAAACCGTGCAAATGTGATTTTTACATCTTTGCTTCAATGTAAAAAAAAATCTCCCAAAATAAATGGAAAAGCAATTATTAACTGTGCAGAGTTACTACCATGAGTTCAATAAAAAAAAAAAACTCTCATGGAATGTTCACAATGAGTCATTCAGCACTGCCAGTGTCTGCGTTATAATGAACATTTTCATTCCAAAAGTGACCAACGGTTGGCTGGGGAAGTAAACACTATGTGGTGTGATGTAGAAAAGTTGTTTCAGCTCGTTAGGTGATGGACTGCAGCGGAAACACAGCTGTAGGTCGTACGTGTCAAGGATGTTAAGCTTGAGAAACACTCAGGAGGAAGTACAAATGTTTCGTTTCGTTAATGAACGAGTTACGCAAGCGTCCCCAACAGACAAACACGCTCGCGTACTTGCGCCACTCGGATTATTTAGGGTTGCGTGAGGATTGAACTAACAACAGCAGCAGCAGCATGTGGGCGTCGTGTGGGAAAAGTCGCAGGCGAAGGGGCCATCCATTTAGTAGGTATGCAAAAAATCTGTCAAAACTTCACCCCTCTCCCCTCTCTGTACGCACGCCAGAGGTCGCAATCGGGTACCGGATACCCGTACCCTACCCGATACCCGGCCGGGTACGGGTAGCCGGGTATCGGGTAGGGTACGGGTACCCGATTGCGACCTCTGGTGCGGCCGGGTATGGGTAAGGAATCAAAACCCGTTTGCGACCTCTGACGCACGCGTACTTTTTACACCCCCCCCCCCCACCTGCGTCCGTACGCTTGACGCATCCCCCCCCCACCCCCGAATCCTATGGAACGGCCGATATTTAATCCACGCAGAAACGATCAAGGATTAATAATATTGTAGTGACATCATGGATGTCGCTGTATGGTGCCGGCCCCAGAGGGGCACGGCGTGCCATGCACCGTCATCACGGACACCCCGTAGGTGAGTGTAGTACCAGCCCTAGAGGGGGCTTGGCGAGCGCTGGGATAGCGCTCAGTGGCACCACGCGTGGCGTGCAGTGCCGACTCCTACCGCAGGGAGTGGGAGAGTGTCAGCCCAGGGGCAGGGTGACCCTGGGCCATGGCACTCTGGTTGACCCCGTAGACACGTGACCGGTAAAGTCTACATGGGGCCCTAGGTGGGGGCTAAGGGGTGGTCACGTGTCTGTGAAAGTTGTCTCAAGAAGAGTCGAGAGAGAGGCAGAGCTCTCTCAAAGGTGGGCGGGGCCAAGGGCGGAGCCAGCCCCGACCCCGGAGCATATAAGCGGGGTCCCCACAGGGACTGGGGTTGGTTGTTGCTGCCGTCATCTGAAGATCTACGTTCTACGTCCAGAAGAGTCTCCAAACACGTAATCCGGAACCCGAGTCAGGGTCCGGTCCGTTGTAGCCAACTCCCAGTGTGTTAGTGTAGTTTAGCCGGGTGGTCCACCACTCTTGGCTGTTATCTGGTAAAGGGGCAGCTACCGCTTTGTGTATTTGTCTTGGTGTGATAAATGTGTTGCCTCTAAGAAGCACGTCTGCGAATCAGTTGAGCCCACTACAATATTAACGTGTTTAAGCAAACAGACAGTCCACCGCCGGACTATCTAACTAATTTGAAGGCCAACGTAGACGAATTATTATCAAGGTTTAACCCCCCCCCCCCCCCGTTTCCTATGCGTACATTGTCAGTAGACCCCCCATACGCAAGTGTACGTATTTGGGTTAACCCCTCCCCCCTCCATGCGTACGTACAGAATGGATGGCCCCTGATGGGAACACAAACGCACGAGGCGGTGTGCCACCGAGTGACGGGTCGGCTTTGCACAGCGTCCAATCGCATCTAATGCCCTGCGTAGTTGGTCAGCCTGATTTTCCCACATCCAAGAAGGTCATTTCACGCGCAGTTCAGTGGAAATGCAGATAAATGAAATGTAGACAAGAAATGTAGACAAGAGGTCTTTCCGACAGCTCTGTTCTTCACCTGAGGACGGCTGCTTGTGTTGTGGTCGAAACGTTGTGAGAATTGTATTGTATGTTTTATTTTTATTTTTTTATTATTTCCCTTCTACGTGACTTTACCGAAAGAACCAAGAATTTAAAAAAGCTTCGTCAAATGTATTAATTTCTGTCGGGCAGTCAAACAATTATTCTCAGTCAGAGCTGAAAATGTACCTAATAAAGTGACAAAACCAATGTGGTGTGATGGAATTATTCGTGCAGTCATTGGTGACCGGGCTGACACCAACAACTCGTGACACTTCAACAACCCGGTGAAATGACGGATGGGTGGCTGAAACCCAGATTCGAACCTAGGTCTTCAGATAGATAGATAGATCGTTTATTGTCATTGTCACCAGTACAACGAAATTTAAAATGCTCACCAGTCAGGGCATCATTCATAAATTTAAATTAAATAAAACAAGAAAATAAAAATAAAATTAAATGAAAGATAATCAATTTATACTATATATAAAAACAGCCCAAGTATACCCACATACTATGTTACGATCGGAGTGTTACAAGCGAGTTTCTCCGTCTTCACAAGATTCAGGACCTCTGGAGTGCTGGCTCAGCACTGTGACCCTGAACCATCCCACCACTCCCCACCCACCTTGAGATACTTGAAGAGAGGGTCTGCTTCATCTCCATTCACATCCACCTTGGAGAAAATGGGGAAGTTGGGCACGAATCCACCTCCAGGCCTCACGTGTTTGATGCAGTTCAGGATCTCATTGTTATTTCCTGCTCGCCAAAACACACACAGTCATTGCATTAAATGCTGCTTGACAACATTGGCCTTGAAACCAAACAGGAAATTAATTTTAATATGCGGAGACACAGAATAGAGTTCCGCCATATTCGCTTGTGCCCATCATGCTCAACGATTAACAGAGCAGAGTCAGATATTTTATATGGAGTGCTCTTACCAATAACTTGTTTACACACCGCACCAGGTACTCATTTTAAGGCTGAGTGCACGCACACACTGGCACACACACACACACAAACTTGACTGGCTCCTGCAAGCCGAATTGATTGGAGGGGAAGGCCAGGACAGTGAATCCGAAGCGAGCAAAGTCGCTCATGAGTGCATTCAGCAATGGATACTGCACGCACGCACACACAGGGACACAAGCACAGACCCGAGTCACTCTCGCTAATCGAGACACATCCTGGGCTCTTGAGTTCTCGCCCGGTTTTAAACAAACTCAACTTGAAACTTCAAGGGTGGTGATGTCCTTTCCTCACCTGCCTGTATCTCCCCAGCACCGTAGCTAACACATCGCATCCGGTACTTATGACCAAATCACCCGATCTCATCAGATCTTCGAAGCTCAGCGGTGTTCAGCCTGCTTAGTACTTGCCATGAGAAATTCTGCCTGCAAATGCCGGGTGTTGTAGGCTTGAGCTGCAGAGGTGGTCAGGAGATGGTGGTACAACAGCGGACTCTTTACTCTGCCTGACCCGTGCAAGAGTATTCTTTGCGGGGTTTCTCCAGGTTCTCATCTTACATCTGACACGGCCACTCAGTAGATGCCATGAGGCCGAACGCCCTCATCAAGGAACCTCTTGAAAGACGAGTGTAGCTACTCAGGGTAGACCTTCCACGGCAAATTCACGGGCGTAATCGTGACTTTTTATTTCATGCCGTGTCGCCCTCGGTGAGGCCCGGGGCAGTTCTAACACCATATGTTGCGCGTCATGACCAGGAATGCAAGTGGGGTTGTTTTTCCATTTAAAGCTTTCGTGACTGCATCGATTCATCTTCTTGGTTCTTTCGGTAAAGTCACGTAGAATGGAAATAATAAAATAATAAAATAAAACATTATACAATTTTATTATGTTTTATTTTTCTTATTATAATAAAATTGTATTATGTTTTATTTTTATTATTTTATTATTTCCATTCTACGTGACTTTACCGAAAGAACCAAGAAGATGAGTGGGGTTGTTGTCAGAGGTGGGACAAAGTCATTGTTATGCAAGTCCAAGTCGAGTCTGAAGTCATCAAATTCATGACTCGAGTCTGACTCGAGTCCAAGTCACATGACTCGAGTCCACACCTCTGGTTGTTGTAATCATATTCCGTGCGGTGTAGTCGATGCCACAACACCACCACCACCACTCCACACCGAGACACCACGCGTGGTAAGGGCCCGCTGAGCCATGTCTAGTTTTCTTTTTCAGAAGCGACCTGGCGACAAATGATAGCTCCAAAGAAAAATCCACGCGACCACGGGAGGCAGAGACGTGTCTCTCCACATTACCTGTGTCGTCGTCTCTCCACACTCTTTGTGTCTCTCCACACACTCAGTGTCTCTCCCCAGTCTCAGTGTCTCTGTCTCTCCATAGACGCTGTGTCTTCACTCTGTGTCTCTGTCTCTCTCTTTAGACTCTGTGTCTCTCAGTGTCTCTCCACACTCTTTGTGTCTCTCCACACACTCAGTGTCTCTCCACACACTCAGTGTCTCTGTCTCTCCATAGACACCGTCTCTTGACTCTGTGTCTCTGTCTCTCTCTCTCTTCAGACTCTGTGTCTCTCAGTGTCTCTCCACATTCTCAGTGTCTCTCCCCTGTCTCAGTGTCTCTGTCTCTCCATAGACGCTGTCTCTTGACTCTGTGTCTCTGTCTCTCTCTCTTCAGACTCTGTCTCTCAGTGTCTCTCCACATTCTCAGTGTCTCTCCACACACTCAGTGTCTCTGTCTCTCCATAGACACCGTCTCTTGACTCTGTGTATCTGTCTCTCTCTCTTCAGACTATGTGTCTCTCAGTGTCTCTCCACATTCTCAGTGTCTCTCCCCAGTCTCAGTGTCTCTGTCTCGCCATAGACGCCGTCTCTTGACTCTGTGTCTCTCTTCAGACTCTGTGTCTCTCGGTGTCTCTCCACAGTCGCAGTGTCTCTCCTGGGCAGCCAACGCACGCCATCTCAGCTCGCCTTCCCCCCCCCCCCCTCAGTGGCCGTGGCTTGGCTGCTGCCCCACTGACAGCTGTTTGACCTAATTCACATCCCTCCTCCACTGCATTCACATCCCTCTCCAACACACAACACGAGTATTTACTGGAGCAGTATTTCAAGGGGTGCCTGCTTGACGTTATTTGACTGATAATGCGAGACACTGGTATACATTGACAGACATTGGATGACGATGATGATTGACTGTGGTGGTGGTGGTCGTTAGGATATTAGTGATGATGATGATGATAATAATGATGAGAGGCATTTGGCTGATGATGATCAAGTCTCTTTTTTACTTTCACCAGGCGAGAACACAATAGACCAGGACGAGGTCTCATCTGCAAGAGCGACCTGGAAACATTAGTCTGGCAATAGGAGACGGCAATGATTGCTATGTATGATCGCAATGATTACAGACATTGGCTAACGACGACGACGATGACAGTGGTGGACAGGATAGCGATATCGATTATGATGGAAGTGGTGAGGCTGACCAGCCCCATACTGGACACCTGTGAAAAGAGCTTCATAGCTCATCGGATTCCCCCTGCAGTCTAAATAAAGATTCTGATTGTGGTGAAGATGGTGATGGTGATGATGGTGACGCTAATAGTGTTATGGTGTTGCACAGTACTCTACCCTACAACGTATTAACTGTGGGCACATTACTGCGAGATTAATTAATGGCAATTAATTATTTAATTGAACCGGACAAGCCCTCTAACAAACAATGTGAGCCACCAGCCGCCACTGAGTCCCAAGTGCCCTTGCACCAGAAGTTGCCCATCACCTTCTACCCTCACCGGTGCAGTGTCAACACGTGGTTGCTTACGTGAGAACTGTCTACATTGTGTGTGCTTATGTATGTATGTTGAAAACTTCTTTCGCGCCCTACGTAGCCAACACACGGCAGATGCCTGCGCAGCGCGACTCACGACCTCCTCTTGATACCAAGATCCAGGATGGTCATGTCTATGCGCCACTTCTCGGTGGCAGCCCCAACAGTCTGGAACGCCGTCACCCCTCTGCACATTCGCAGCATCACCTTAATCGCCTCCTTCAAGAGACACTTAAAAACTTACCTCTATAACCACGATTTCGAGCGACTCTGAGCTTGGCTCCGCGCCTCTGAGTTGCGGCCGTTACGTCCGCAAATTTGCGCGTTACAAATTTTATTATTATTATAATTGGAGATTTCGGGAGGGGGGGGGGCAAGAACAATAAATGAAACACACGCAAAAAAAACAATACTCTTCTACAGAAACGAGTTGACAATCTCGATTTGAAAAGTGCACAAATCAACTTCTTCCGACCCAAGACCACCGAGCGTGTACACGAGAGGGCCTGCCGTGGCCTGCACCTGCTTTGGCGTCTGGCTTCAGAAGGATGCCACGTTCGTGATCAACGCCAGCTGCCCACGATACTTCCCCAGGGACACGCGGCTGCCCTCCAGGGTCTTGCAGGAGAAGTCGTAGATGGTTCTCCCATCCGGAGGGTGACACAGTGACCTGTCTCCAGGCATGATGTCCACCGTGATACCAGCTCGAGTCGAAGAGTCTCGACGGCTTACAGAGCCCCCTCCCCCCGAGTAACTTTTTGTTATCGGCACAGCGCAGAAGCGAGAGTGTCAGCGAGTGTGTATCACGTAGGAGGCAGTTGGAGAAAACGCTGCCGGATGTGCGATGTGGTTGATTGAATGTGAGGGCACACACGCCGCACACACTGGGGCTGGCTCGAATGGCCTCCTCACTTTATACCCCTCCACAAATTGTCCTGTTGCGAACAAGTGGTCAGCTCAAAATGACAAAACGCCGCGTGACCCAGCGCATTACGAGGTGTAATGAAGGCTTTTTTGTTGGAGCAAAGCAGCTTAGGACAGCATTTTAATTGTGATTTAGGGGAACTTTCTCCCACCGTGCATTGTGGTGTGGCCGTGGAGACTAAATGCGAAATTATGCGCGTCTGTGCCGTCAATTTCCCCACTAAGTGATTTGTTGACATCCCATAATGTTCATAGAGTCGGGATAATAATTAAGCGATGCATTAAACTAATTAACTCATGAGAACATCGTCTGTGGCCAGAAATTTACCCTAGATACTGTACATTTGGGAGGGTGTCAAACTTCTGACCTCATGAGTGCGCATGTCGAGTGGACATGCATCTGGTTGGCTGTGGAATTTGTCTGGCTCGCTGCCAGGGACAAGTTTCCCCGCAGGCTGCTCTTGTTATTGCAGGTTTTCTCCTTTTTCCAACAAGGTCATTGTGAAAAGTTAAACATGAGCTGTGTTCATATCGTTATGCCGAGACGCACATGAACTACCTGCAAGGAATCTGCATGTGACTCGCTAGCTATGGCTTGGCCATCCTTGACCTATACGGTTGAATTTTGTTTAAAAGAAACCTTCCAATTACCACAACAAAACAACAGCAGACACAGATAAATGATTTCAATGCGTATGCATCATCGTGCAGAACGCTGCGAATAACAATACACAAAAAAAACTACAAAAAAGAAGGATGGAACGGGAGAGAGGAGGGGAAAGTAGGAGGAAGAGCGGGGTAAAGTGGTCGCTTTATAAACCTAACAACCAACATATGACAAGGAAACTAAAAGTGATGTAAAGTTAAATATACTCGCAAGTCAACTATTTCAGTGTTTGCACAAGCATGCAGCATTGGCAGTGGTGCATAAGCACAACGAACAATACATAACTCCACATTCGTCTATAACACTGCCTTAAAAGAAAACATATATACCGTAATGGGTGAAGTTTCTGGTAATGAATCTTCTTCATAGCACACAGATACAAAGTTATTTAAGGCTGGAGACTGCACTTAAAATATATATATATAGGGCATTATGTTGTTTAAATTTTATAAAGGTTTTCTGATGACCAGTTTTTAAATTGGCTATATTAATTTATTTTTAAAATCATAAAATGTATTGTATTTAATTTTCATCTGGTACCGCCGTGTTCAGTGTCGTCTCCAACTCCTATAAACCCTTATATCTCTGACCTTTCTATTTATGTGCTCTGAAGAAGGTTCATTTTAAGGCCACAAGTGTTATTGACGAAAGCTGATATTGCCAAAGATCAATTTGCAGTGAATAACCTAGGGGAAAATTGTGTTTTCATTTAGTTATTCAATTTAAAGTGAGCATTGTTTCATTTAAGTCCAGGGTGTTCTAAAATATTTAATTGAAAGTAGTGCTTCATGTATTTAAAGCCTGCGTTATTCCATTCAAAGGGCTGTGTTATTCATTTCTGGAGATGTATTAATGTTATGCATATCGTTTACAATTGGAGGGTGGTGTTTAATAAAAAAATAAATACACGTGTGCTTTTCACCTCTCAGAAAAGGGACCTCTAGATTTGTTTCCATCCACGAACGCCTATCAAATATGATAATCGAGTAACCTGGATAGGTTACCTCGCAGTAAAATATTAATTTTAAAGATGAACCACCGTGACGGAAATATTGCTGACTTGCGAATTAAGCTGTGCAAAGTAGCATATGACGTTCTTTGGTCAATTTGGGTGGTGATTGATGGTGGTGGTCATTTGTATGGTGGTGGTTGTAGCGGTGATGATGGTATTACTTGCATTGGCCGTGGTGACACGTATACAACAATTTCGCCTGTTGGTAAAAAAAAGGGAAATAAATTAATCTTGAAATGTTACAACATTGTGGGGGTGACTGTGAGTCCCATCGGCCATATAACATACACAGTAAAGTCTGAACCAGGTAAAGTCTTAATTGACTGTGATGTCTCCATCCTACCTGCCCATGTCAGCTGTTATTTCCGACTCTCTGTGTGTATTTCTCTCTCTCTATGCTGCCCTGCTCCCCACCCCCCATCTCTCCCCCCCCACCCCCCTTCTCTCCCCCCCCCCCCCTACTGCCGAGGCCTATATAACCTCGTGCCACGGCAGTTCTCTCGCCTACTTCAGCAGTTTTAAAATTGCTGTGGTTGTCCCACCTGATGACGATTGCTTGTGTTGCGATCGAAACGTCGTGATCTGTTATTTTTCTACCTACGTGACTTTACCGAAAGAACCAAATAGTATGGATTCCTGCAGTCACGAAATCTTAAAATCAAGATACACAGTGCAGTTCACATACCTGTCCACCCATACAATTTACCCGTATTTTTGTACAGGGAAATTGAGTTTTCAGGTCCATACGGAGTACAGCCGTTTCAATACGGGCAAAAAATATATAATTGTGTCTATTTGTTTGTGTTTCTCCCTTGTGATTGGACTTTGTAGGATGAACGTTGAGATTTATAAGTGGCACGGGGTGACCAATAAGGTCTGAATTGGTCTGTGATAAGGGAGGGCACTGACAAGGGGTTGACAGATATGAGTACACAACACCATCATGGCAGGGGGACCCATTTATAGATACCCCACTGATTTTCTAAAGACCTCAGCTTCGGCATCATCGAATGTTGTAAGAAGAACAGGCTACGTTGGGCACGTCGTGTATCAGCAGGAGTGTTCAAACATTGAATGCGCATTCATACTGGTGAGAAATGTGTGGAGGCTTTTAGAGGTGTATCTAGAACTAGATCTTACTGTACACACAGTATATACACAACACTCATTTCATACTATTCCCAGCAATACGCACTACTAGGCAGCATTTAATTACATATTCATTCACTACTTCAGTGACAAGTCACATACAGTCCATGGACCAGGGCAGAACTAGATACCACTTACAACTCTAATCGTACCGATGTATTTACAGAGCTAATAAGAGTGAATTGTTTGACTACTCTACCCATTTCACATGGTTATCGCAGCATTCACACTTTTTTGGCCGGATAATGAGATTGGAACCACGGACACCCTTGTGTAGCATTGAACAGACTGTTGGGACAAGTGCTGTTAGCGAGTAGCACCTATGAAGGTCAGCACGGCACACGAGGGGGTGGGTGGTCAACACCACGTCCAGCTGCCTTTGTCTCCCTAGAGGCGATGTATATTTATACATCACCCTGGTGTCGGCCCTGAGCGGGTTTCGGAAAACGAGATCTGGTCTTGCCGGTCGTGAACTAATAAACACATATTTTAAAATGGAAACAATATTACATTTGAATTGATCCTATTTGCAAACCAAAAAAATGGGCGCTGCCCAGGCACAGCGCTGGTCCTGGATCGAGGGTGAGATGTTAACTACCTCGCCTGGTATACAGGAGGTCGTGGGTTCGATCCAGACCATGACGCCTGCTGCTGTATATTTGTAGTTTGCGTGTCTCTCTCTCTCTCTCATCGTCATCATCACGGTGGCTCGGAGATGTTAATTACCTCGCCTGGTAAACAGGTGGTCGTGGGTTCGATCCCGACCCTGACGCCTACTGCTGTATATTTGTAGTTTGCGTGTCTCTCTCTCTCTCATCATCATCACGGTGGCTAGGAGATGTTAATTACCTCGCCTGGTATACAGGTGGTTGTGGGTTCGATCCAGACCATGACGCCTGCTGCTGTATATTTGTAGTTTGCGTGTCTCTCTTTCTCATCATCATCATCACGGTGGCTAGATGTTAATTACCTCGCCTGGTATACAGGAGGTCGTGGGTTCGATCCAGACCCTGTCGCCTGCTGCTGTATATTTGTAGTTTGCGTGTCTCTCTCTCTCATCATCATCATCACGGTGGCGAGGAGATGTTAATTACCTCGCCTGGTATACAGGAGGTCGTGGGTTCGATCCAGACACTGACGCCTGCTGCTGTATATTTGTAGTTTGCGTGTGTCTCTCTCTCATCATCATCATCATCATCACGGTGGCTAGGAGATGTTAACTCCCTCGCCTGGTTTACAGGAGGTCGTGGGTTCGATCCAGACCCTGACGCCTGCTGCTGCTGTAGATTTGGAGTTGCCATGTCTCTCTCTCTCTCCGTGGTCGCGTAGATTTTCCTCGGGGCCCTCAGGTTTTTCCCTCCACATTTAGAAACATGCGTTATGAGTATTTGGATGCTACAAATGTCAACATGATAAGCCACTTCATTGGACTATCATATATAATTCTGGATTTTAAGCTTTCGTGACTGCAAGGATTCATACTCTTAGGTTTTTTCGGTAAAGTCACGTAGGTAAAAAATTAAAATAATAGAAATAATAATAGAAATAAAATAATAAATCACGACGTTTCGGAGGCAACACAAGTCTCCGTCATCAGGTGGGACCGTCACAGCTAAATTTACTATCATATATAGCTCAGCAGCCGTTACCTGGAATTTTTAAAAGTTGAGTTTTTATAAGGGGAGCAGCACGACCTTCCGTACCAGAGCTACCCCGACAGAGCTAATTTAATCTGATTGGTTTCTCGTTCATTTCCTCACAGCCACACGCTGACTGTACAGCTACTTGACTTCCCAACGAAGGGCAGTGAAATAACAACAGCCATCAGTGGTGAGTGTTGCAGCAGCATCATCATCTCTGTGTGTGGAGATTAAGTCATTCCCTGTGTGTCTCTCCCGCGTGCCCTGTCACTCCGTGACGCTGTCCAGTGATAGTCACTCATCTCTCACTCACAGTCCATACACACACACCACGTGCATCCACCATCACTCACAGTCTACACACACCACGTGCATCCACCACACTCATCACTCACAGTCCATACACACCACCTGCATCCACCACACTCATCACTCACAGTCCATACACACCACCTGCATCCACCATCACTCATCACTCAGTCTACACACACACCACGTGCATACACCATCACTCATCACTCACAGTCCATACACACACACACCACGTGCATCCACCACACTCATCACTCACAGTCTACATACACACACCACGTGCCTCCACCATCACTCATCACTCACAGTCCATACACACACCACGTGCATCCACCATCACTCACTGACCCTCACCACCATCACTCACTGACCATCACCACCATCACCCACTGACCATCACCACCATCACTCACTGACCATCACCACCATCACTCACTGACCATCACCACCATCACCCACTGACCATCACCACCATCACTCACTGACCATCACCACCATCACCCACTGACCATCACCACCATCACCCACTGACCATCACCACCATCACTCACTGACCATCACCACCATCACTCACTGACCATCACCACCATCACCCACTGACCATCACCACCATCACCCACTGACCATCACCACCATCACCACCATCACCCACTGACCCCCACCACCATCACTCACTGACCATCACCACCATCACTCACTGACCATCACCACCATCACCCACTGACCATCACCACCATCACCACCATCACTCACTGACCATCACCACCATCACCCACTGACCATCACCACCATCACTCACTGACCCTCACCACCATCACTCACTGACCATCACCACCATCACCCACTGACCATCACCACCATCACTCACTGACCATCACCACCATCATCCACTGACCATCACCACCATCACCCACTGACCATCACCACCATCACCACCATCACCCACTGACCCCCACCACCATCACTCACTGACCATCACCACCATCACTCACTGACCATCACCACCATCACCCACTGACCATCACCACCATCACTCACTGACCATCACCACAATCACTCACCACCATCACCACCATCACCCACTGACCCCCACCACCATCACCCACTGACCATAGCCATCGCCACCACTAGCCAGCGGCTGCCTGCTCACACCACCACCACCACCGGGACGTTCATCCACATAAAGACAAAGGCAGAGGACAACTAACGTTCGTATTTTTTACACCGACGTATTGTAAGCCGTTACAAATCTCGTCTCACTTTAACGTACGCGTGTGTGTGTGTACGAACTGTAGCGATGTGTGTGTGTGTACTATGCACTATATACTGTAATCGCCGGTGCCGTGCAAATCGTGTGTATGGAATGCGTGGCTATTTGTGACAGAGCTACATTAATGGTAGCGATGTTAACACAGCACGCACAATGAACACGTAGTGTATATGTCATTTCTCTCTCTTGCGTGCGAGCACTATAATATATAATTATAGCACGGTTGGCTACGTACGGTGCGAAAGAAATTCAACAATACATCTAATATGGGTGTCCCGTGCATCAGTTGTTTAGGAAAAGTCGTGTGTGTGTATCCAGCAAATGTGTTATGTAACTGTATGAATGTACACGAGTACATGCAGACATACGCGCATAGGACATATACATCTCTATTCCTTAACGCATGTTCATATGTATACACGTGTGTGTGTGTGTGTGTATCCACACTTGCACGGCACCGGCGGAAATATCGTGTATATGTATCCAGTAAAGTACATGTAACTACACGTGTGTCCACGCATGTATCGGCACATGTGTGTGCATGCACCGGCACATGTGTGTGCATGCACATGCGTGTACATGTGATACGTATGTTTGTTCTATCCAGTGCAAACGCGATGATCTCATTTGCAGTCAACACAATACAAATCGATACTCCCATTCGGCGGTGTCATTTACACTGCAGCAATGTATTGGGCAAAGCGATGTGCTATGAGATATGGGCCATTTCCTGAAACGTCCATTTCATTATTTTATTATCTTTTATTTTTATTATTTTATTATTTCCATTTTACGTAACTTTACCGAAAGAACCAAGAAGATGAATCCCTGTAGTCACGAAAGCTTTAAATCGAAATTTAGTCAATTTCATAGTTATCAGATATCACTGGTCAACAACAAAACATTTTTTTCTGGCCTGGACTTTTGCAGCTGTTTTAGACTAATCTCAGGGTGCTGATTCCAAATCTGTTCTGATCTCAGATTTGCTCTATCACATCTCATTTTTATGCTATCGGCATACCCCATTTTCATTGATTTTACCCGAAATTAAAACTGTCACTTATGATTGCAAGTTGTTGCGAGTCAGTGACTGCTTTAGTGTTAAAATATGGTGCTGTATTTTTAGGATAGTGTGTTTATCATATAATTTTATGTAGATATCCACATTTATTTAATTTTTTTCTTCTGCAGTTTTTATTGAAAATGCTATATTTAATATCTCAAAAACCTGATGTGGTAGACAAAAACTGATGCCAGATTTGGAATCAGCACCCCAAAATTACCGTTGGAATACCTTATGCCAGAAAAAATTAACCCGTAAAAACAAAGTTTTTCACTATAAATCCTTTATATGCGTGGTGGCTAGAGTCCTCTCGTCCTCTGGCTTGAGATGGCTGCCACATATGGGTCAGATGATTGCCTGGCAGCATTAAGCAATTGGTAATTAAATATCATTTTTTTTCCCTAAAAAGTGTAAAATTTTGGAAAAAAAATTTCACCAAAATTAATTGTCACGCACAACGAGTCTGTGTGGAAAATGTCAGCTCGATTGGATCACGGAAAGTGGATTAAAAAACGACCGGAAATTTTGCACGGTCGTAAGCAAGCAAGCAAGCACGCAAGCACGCAAGCAAGCAAGTGAACTTAATATAAAGGATTTAAAAAGTGTGTTGACCAGTGTGTTTTTTTCTTTAAAAGGGCCCTCAAATGTTATTGATTGACGATTGTGGGGTGGTGGGGGTGGGTGGTGGGAGTTGGTGAATTGTGCTTTATGCATAATTTATGTATCAGTGTGTGTGCGCGCATCTGTGGCCCATGCAATGTGCACGTGTCTGTCAATGCACACTGGGTGTGTTTGTGTCTGCCCTGTCCTGTGTGTGTGTGTTGGAGGCAGTACGAATGAACACAGTACACATCGTTTTAGCGTGTTGACCATCTCCTCACACATCCGATTAGCACGATTGGGTACGTACGGTGTGAAAGAAGTTCACAGCTGTGAACTCACACGGTTTACCCCGTATTCTTGTATAGGGAAATTGAGTTTTCAGGTCCATACGGTGCACAGCCGTTTTAATACGGGCAAAACAACAGTTTGTGTCTATTTGTTTGTGTTTCTCTCCTTGTGATGGGACTTTATAGGATGAACGTTGAGATTTAGAAGGGCACGGGGTGACCAATAAAGTCTGAATTGGTCTGTAATAAGGTCGGGCACTGATAAGGGGTTGACAGAAATGTAAATTCAACATACATACATCATACTGATAGGAACCTCCTGGTTACACCAGCCCACAGGGGATTATTGTGTCCGTCCGTCCGTCGTGCAGGGAAGGGCTGGGTGGGGAGGGGAGGGTGGGGCTGGGTGGGGAGGGTGGGGCTGGGTGGGGAGGGGAGGGTGGGGCTGGGTGGAGAGGGGAGGGTGTGGGGGGGCTGGGTGGCGAGGGTGGGGGTGGCAGGGGTGGGGCGGGGTGGTCACCCCGTGGTGTCCTTATAAAACTCAACGTTTAACCTACTCGCGCCGGTTTGTGCCCGCCCTCACAGTCGGGCATATTTGCGGAATACACCACGCCGCCGTTGACCCTGCAGGCCATTGACCGAGCAACCCAACGTTCCTACCAGCTCCCTCCGCAGGAATGTGTCTTGCAGACAATTGAGATGTGTTTCGTGTGATGCTGTGTGTGTGCGTGCTTTAATGTTATTGCTTGCTCCACGTGTCAAAGCTGCTCTATAATTGCATGCCATTATCTCTGATCTGATGGCAGCCTGTCCACAGGTCATCACCTCTGAATGGCCACAATGCGTGAATAGCTCCACCTGCCCAGTAACACACAGCACTGCCACTATAGCATGCAACGTGTGCACGCATGTGCAGCCCGTGTGTTAATCCGTGCCACTGCTGGTTTTGACCATACTTCAATTATCGTAGTGGGCTTGCATAATGAATCCGCATCTCTTTCAGATATGTAAGGGGCCGTCCATAAATGACGTCACGCACCTAGGGGGGGGGGTCAGACATTTGTGACGATGTGTGACGAGGGGGGGGGGGCTTGCGAAATGTGACAAATGTGACGTCACATCAAAATGCGCAACTTTAAATAAACATAGACAACACGTTCTACTTAATTAAATATACTTTTTAATAAATGTTTTCTCCTACAACATCAGAGTGCAGCGGCACATTAAATACGCACTACAATGACAATAGTTGAAAGCGATTTGAAGCATGTTTTATTTTGGGGGGGGGGGGGGGGCAGAGCTTTGTGACGTCATATTTGAAAGGGCGTCTGACTTTTTGTGACGCCGTGTGCCGGAGGGGGGGGGGGGTCAAAAATCGTCCAAAATTGCGTGACGTCATTTATGGACGGCCCCTAATCCTGATGATACACGAGTGGAAGTGCGCATTCATTGCTCTGTGTGTAGACCGTGTTAAGTAACGGCGCAGAGTTTGTGTATTGACTTCCGTGGCACCAGTTGGGGATTTGGAGAATGCACAACAGAGCTCTCGGTCCACAGAAGGCACGAGGTGCACCAACATGGGCAGAAGACGAATTCTCTCTCGAGACTTGCACACAAATAACGCGGTCATGGCAAAGCCTCGAAGTGACAACGAGGGCCTCTGTTGGCAGCCCGAAAACCCAACGGTGGCAATTATTCATTCGCACGACAACGGACAATTTATCCAGAGAACACAACCACGACTGTCGCATTCCCAACAAGTGAACTTCCGTCTCATCAGTCCAACTTCTGGATGATGATGATGATGTGACTTAAGTCGACTGGGATTTGAACTCGCCACGACCTGATGCGGTGGTTCTTCACACGCACCCCCCTGGGTGTGCGAGATGCCCTTTCTGGGGGGGATGCGAAACACGGGCAGATTTTTATTATTTTTAGAAGGTAAATCATCGAAACACAAATGAAGCACTGGCACGTAAGTACAACTACAGTAAACCGTGTTAATGCGACACATATGGGCCTCTGTCCTTGCCAAAGTATTCAATATTTCGAATTATGTACAATGGTACTCCCCATTGTACATGATATCTACATTTATCCTGTAGATATGCCTAAAGCGCAGCCGTGCCGAATTATCCACAATTACGAACGATCAAATACCGAAATGACGAGGTTCTACTTGCTTTCATCAAACCTTTCATCAAACCCTATATACGTGTAAGGGAGTGTACAATAAAAGGTTCTGGAAGGGGGAGTTGAGATGGTTGAAAACAGGTGGCCGGACACGCGTTATAAGGAAGTAGGGGGGGTGGGGGGGCACTGGCCGATAGGGCCGGGTCCGGGCGAGTATATAAGGGCGAGCGAGGCACACGCGGTGCTCGGGGGACTAATCGACGACCAGAGAGGTGGACGACATCGGGGTCGAATGTTCGAGATCGACATCGTGGAAACCATCGGGAGTTGGCTGTTCAAGACTCGACTGAGTGGAAACCACCGGGGCTGAAGATCGCCATCATCAGCGTAGCAGTCGTTACGCTCACATTTTATATGCGTTCGGATAAATGAAGCTCAACTTCCTTGAAAATGGATGTCTCCAATGAGCTTCTTTTACATATTCATTAACATCATTTTTTTAACGGATGCAAAGCTGCAGTAAAGGTTATACAGGATGTTTTAAAAATATAGACCCGATTTGAAATTGCTATATCTCTGCAATGAGTTTCAAATGATGACCGCTAGATGCCTCTCCCAGCGCACAAACAGCCCTCTAGCCTCAGTCATTCGCAAGACGGTAACCCCGCAACACAAGGGGCCTTTTGCGTTCAGCAGTTCAGCAAGACTGAATCCGTAATTGCGGTGCAGCGTGCGTTTCAACGGCGTTTTGGCTTTGATCGGCACATGTCAAAGAGCATTCGTCGTTGGTACCGACAATTTGAGGAAACAGGCTGTTGATGTAAGGGGAAGAGCAGAGGGTGACCACGCAGCTCAGAGGAAAACGTGAGAAGAGATGCGTTTGGGACGAATTCAACTATCGTCTCGATGTTGTCCGTACAGCAGGTGGAGGGCACAGAGAGCAATACAATGCATGTTGAACTTCTATCGCACCGTACGTAGCCAACGGTGCTAATCGGAGGTGCGGGGGGGAGACAAAAACATGCGTCGCTTATATCGGAACTGTGCTGGTATCATGTGTGCTTATATCTAGCTTCTACTGCGGTAAAAAAAACAAGGCCGTAATTATAATATATATTGGGGGGGGGGGACACATGAATATTGGAGGGGACACATCCCCCCAAATATATTGCTATAAAATAGATTTCTGTTTATATGATTGTGGTTATGGTTGTACTTTATTAATCCCTAATCTCTGCCATTACATACAATGAAACAAGAAAAGGTAAAAAAGAAAAAAACCAGAGCAATATAATACAACACACTATTAGACATTATTGTAAAAATTAATAAAAAATAAGATTTGGTCTCCCCCAATGTTGACTCCATGGCTACGGCCTTGCGTCCTGCTACCCGCTGCCGTGGTGGTGACACAGCCGCGAAGGTATAACCAAAACACGTGTTTCTAAAAAAAAAACAATATCAACGTGTTCTTGGTTCTTTCGGTAAAGTCACGTAGAAGGGAAATAATAAAAATAAAACATAATAAAATAATTGTCACGACGTTTCGGCCACAACGCAAGCAGCCGTCCTCAGGTGAAGAACAGGTCTGTCGGAAAGACAGCGTCTGAATGGGCACCACCAAGCTTGGCAGCGTATATTTAAGCTGGGTTGGAGGGGGGAAGGGGCGCCTTGACAAAGCAATTTGCATATCAAGATGAATTTAGCATATTTATGGAAAATGCAGATATGGGATTAGTCACTACTTGTGGAATGCGTAGGAGGTGTGGGAGGGGGGTTTCAAAGTCATATTATGCCCGTGCATCAAAAATCTCAACGTGCTCTGTAGGTGATGGAGGACTCCGTCACACCGGCAAACGCCAAGACAAAGTTGTGGGCCAGTCTACCACTCCGCTCCTATCAGAGCGGCGCTCTGGCCGGCTCGGCCAGCGTTCTCGTCAGCACGGCCCTGACCTTCCCCATCTTCAAGGCGAGCACTCGGCAACAGATGGCCCTGAGTCTCTCGGCACGGCCAGTGTTCGCGCAGCTGCTACGCGAGGGACTGAAGTCAGTGCTGCTGCGTGGACTCTTGGCTCCCAGTTTGCAGGTAAGAAAGAGGTGGATCTGCTTGGTTCTTTCGGTAAAGTCACGTAGAATGGAAATAATAAAATAATAAAATAAAACGTTATGAAATAATTCTCACGACGTTTATGTTTTATTTTATTATTTCCATTCTACGTGACTTTACCGAAAGAACCAAGAAGATGAATCCCTGCAGTCACGAAAGCTTTTAATCGAAAAGAGGTGGATTTTGTGGTATCACTGCCAACACCAGCAGCAGCATCATCATTTGAGAGAAGATATCATGATCAGTTGAAGGAAGTTGCTCTCTTAAAACAAAACAAAACTCAGCAGCTATGTTTCTCGGCCTGTTCTCAGAGCTGTCCGGCATAAAATGTAACCTCTGTTAATGAGAGTAGAATATTTAAAGGGATTTAAAACACACTGGAGTAATTTCCCTGTGGTATCGATGCCATACGTTTTTATACATCTTGAGTCTTGTTTACATACCTATGCCAGATAAACTGGGAAACAGCCGCGGTTTGTATCTATGAGAGATATGTTTTTGGCTTGTCTTCCTTACACATAAGTCGTCATTGATTGGTCATAAATTGATGTAGTCAAAAGTATCGTGAACAAACACTATAGTTTTCAGAAGCTATACATTATGGTTGTACATTATAATCAATAGTGTTCAGTCTAAATTATAATCACTTACCTTTCAGTCCATCCTTTGATATTTCAAAATATCGCAAAACCATAATCAGCATTATTTTTTAAATAATAATGTCGACCTTAAGACAAATGTACCCTCATCTCAATAACCTCATCTTGTTGTTTCCGATAGCTATAGCTGCATATCAATTTCCACCAGGTTGGACATTCAATAGCATGTACACTTTGAGATGAATTCCCATTATAGCCATCACAACCTTAACTGTCATAAACTAAGTAACATTACATTCATAATCAACGTTTTTGGGTTTAGATCGCGTTATTTATAAATGTGTCGTAACCCTCCACCACCCGACACGGCCAATCAGTAAAAAAGTGTCACGTTGACAAAAGACAAATAGTTCACTGCTTTAGCCCACCGGTGTGTTGAAGCCACAACATTTACAATTTGAGTACGACGTTTCGCTGGTAATTGCATCCAGCATCATCGGGCAATTCGCCAGAATGGTGAGGCTCTGCTGTGTCTCCCGTTCTTATATAGAGCAACATTACATTCTGTAATTACAAAAAGGCATAGAATACCATCCTTGCTCATATGCACCAATTGGGCCCGCGTGTCTTCCGTGTGTCCCCCACCAAAAAGCGTGTGCTCTGCCGCTCGATAATGTACGGCAACTACGAGTTCGTCCTGGGCAAGCTGGCCCACATGGGGCCCAGGCTGGCCGACCGGAGCCGGTTGGCCTGCTCCCTGGCCGCCCTGCTCTCCGGATCCCTGGAGGCCGTGCTCACACCCCTCGAGAGGGTGCAGACTCTGCTGGTCAATCCGCAGACCCGCGGGCAACACGCTTTCCGGCACTCCATCTCCGCCCTCTCGCACCTCGGCACGCTGGGCTTGCGCGAGCTGTACGTCGGACTCACTCCCGTACTGCTCCGAAACGGGCCCAGCTTCGTCCTCTACCTGTATATCAAGGTGTGTGTGTGTGTGTGAGCGCCCGCTCAGTAGGAGCTTCGTTACCCCCAATGCGTTGTCCATACATTGTGTGGCAACTTGATGCGCAGCTCTGCTTTGTTTAAACTAGTGGTGGGCAATTTTCGATTTAAGGCTTTCGTGACTGCAGGGATTCATCTTCTTGGTGCTTTCGGTAGAGTCACGTAGAAGGGAAATAATAAAGTAATAAAAAGAAAACATAGTAAAATAATTCTCACGACGTTTCGGCCACAACGCAAGCAGCCGTCCTCAGGTGAAGAACAGGTCTGTCGGAAAGATAATTATTTTATTATGTTTAATATTTGTATTATTTTATTATTTCCCTTCTACGTGACTTTACCGAAAGAACCAAGAAGAACGTGGTGGACAACCCGCGGGCTGCAAGTGGTCAGTGGAGCGAACCCCTCGTGGTGGCTTGGGTATCATTGTCAAGGGTGATACGTGGGGTCGTTATTAGTGCACAAGCATGACATCAAGCTCAGCGAAGGAGGGCCGCTCATGTGGCCCACTAACTAGTTGAGGTTGTTCATCATTTAGACCCTCTTTTTTAAATCCTTTATATTAAGTTCGCTTGCTTGCTTAGGACCGTGCAAATCTTTCGGTCGTTTTTTAACCCACTCCCCGTGATCCAATCGAGCTGACATTTTGCACACAGACTCGTTGTACGTGACAATGCATTTTCGTGAAAAAAAATCCTAAATTTTACACTGTTTAGGGATTTTTTTTAAATATTTAATTACCAATTGTTTAATGCTGCCAGACAATCATCTGACCCATAGGTGGCAGCCATCTCAAGCCAGAGGACGAGAGGACTCTAGCCGCCCCGATGCCACGCATATACAGGATTTATAGTGAAAACTTTGTTTTTACGGGTTAATTTTTTTAACTACATTATTGTATCTTGATTTAAAGCTTTCGTGACTGCAGGGATTCATATTCTTGGTTCTTTCGGTAAAGTCACGTAGAAGGGAAATAATACAATAATATTAATAAAATAATATGAATATTATTTAAAGTCACGTAGAAGGGAAATAATAAAATATTATGAATAAAATTATATTAATATCATTAATAGTATTTCATTATTTCCCTTCTACGTCACTTTACCAAAAGAACCAAGAATATACATTATTGTAGTTTATGGTGATTATAATAATGTGCTAGCATTTAATCAACTCTACCAAAGATCTAGTATTTGACTAGCAATGCTTATAAAGTTCCAATCTATCCCATTCCTACTTGTACAACAACTTAAACACACTTTCTTATATTTGACCAAACCTTCAAGGATATTTCCTGCCATTGTCAATGGTGCAGCCCATTTGATTTACCTTTTTAGCTACATATTCTGGTGACATGTACTTACTTTACCTGTGCTTTTATTTTGCGTTATTGTCATCTATTGTAGGATCCTGTCATGCTGTAATTGCTAGCACACTCGATGTCTAATACAGACGTCAATGGGGCAGGTTTCTTAAATCCCCTCGCCTGACCACCCGGCACTTTAATTGTGTACGCCAGTTGGGTCGTGTCAACTGTAGGTGCTGCCACCTCTTGTACAACATCTGGCTACTGTGGAAGAGTAGGCCACGTACCCACTAGAGCCGCTGCTAGCGGACGCCCTTCCGCAAGCGCTGGTGCTAGCAAGCAATTGCAGGTCCTTGCAAGCAATTGCAGGTCCGCACCTTTACCTTTCATTGGACATGGTGACCACCCACCGAAACCACCAACAGAGCTGACGCTAAGAAACTGTGGCTTTGTGCGGATTTCCACACCACAGGACAGCGTCACGCTGCTCATGCCCGCCTCCGTTCGAGGCCGCAGCACTTTCCTGGAAGGTGCGTTCATGGGCGGCTTCTCGTCCCTGCTCACGGGCCTCGCCTTCTACCCGCTCAACACCGTCAAGGTGCAAATGCAGGCCCGCATCGAGAAGCCTCATCTGGGATTCCTGGCGACTGCTCGCGACGTGGTGTGGAGGCAGGGGACCAGCCGGCTGTACCGTGGCGTGACCGCGCATTGCCTGGGCTCCATCATCTCGTGGGCAGTGTTTGAGGGGTCATACCGGGTCATCATGGAAATGATGTAGAGCACTACACCACAAGCCTATTGCAATGTGGTTTATTACTCAGAGGTTTGTATAAAACGATATCTCAGGCAAATGTTGTTGGCTTTCTTACTCTGCCAGGATTTTACAAAATAGCAATGACATAAATGAACACGTTAACTTCAGTAAATTAATGTTGATTGCTCACATGTTCTATTACACTGAGCTAAGGCTGATTTTGGCGTTTACATTTTTATTCACTGCCAAGGTTCGGAAAAGACAATAACGTAATGGTCATGGAATAAAGTGAGACGGTGCTCCATGTAAAATATTTTATAAAAAAAAAAATGTTTAACTGAAACAAGGAGCTAATTCAAGTTTTTTTAAAATTCAGGTGAAATAAAAAAGGGGTGCCTGGTTTGTATTGGAAAAAACTCGAGCGCCTCTTGTACATTATGCGCTGACGATACCAATTTGTATTTTAAGAGCATGTCGTATGACGTTTTTAGAAAGAAAGAAATTAAGCGCCTAGTCTAGTTTGTTTCAACAGGGACTTCCAATATTTCACGAACTTCATCAAAATCCACGATTTCCATGATCACCAAATCAAAATCATAGCCTTGCACAGAGTACCCAAAATGGTGAAATGTACTTTGCAGGCTGCAGACTATTACAGCCCATTTTCAGCAATCTTGCCAATGAAACGCAAGCCTACAAATGTACAAATGCCATCATTACCAGTCTGAATAACCCTAATGAGGGAACTGAGCCACATATTCTTGGTCCTTTCGGTGAAGTCACGTAGATAGAAAATCAAGTTTTAAATCAAAATTTTACTGAGCCACAGTGAGCCAAGTAGGAAATTAACTTTAAAAAGTTACCGTTTTGATTAGCATGCAAATTACAAAGATTGTGTGGTTAATAAAATGTTAGTTGGCAATGTTATAATACAATGGTGGTTTAAGTCATTCCCGGACTTTGTAGGTGGACAATGGATGGCGATGACAAAATGTTGCGGCGGCCGTGTAGGGTGGGGGGATCTTTTAAGAATGGTCACCAGGTGGCAGAGGTTCCTCGAGTGCATGCACCGTGAGAGAAAATACGGCCATTAGCCCAGCAGTAGAAACGAATAGAGATCAAGTTTATTGTGTGCGAAGGCATCAAGCCAGCCGAGATTCACGAGTAACTTTGTGCACACGTTAAAGATGCAATACTCGGATGATCAGCAGTGTTTGATGTGCTGGGTAACTGTGCGCTTTCCAAGCCAATTGTTTTGATGTCTGTAAGTGCTTGTAAAGCCTGATTCTTGCCGAAAGCCATGTCGCCTTTTGTGCAATTGCAGCAGAAACATAAACCGAGCAATGGCAGTGTTTAAATTAAAACCATGCCCACCTGCACTTTAATAATGTGCTTGCCAGAATGGCTTTCAAAACAGCTGAATGTTTCCCAACAACCATGACCGGGTGCACATCTGCTCCGAGTTGCTGTTTGCCCATTTCATAGCAGGACACAAAAATAGTAGTTCAGCATACATTCCTGGAATGCATGGTTACATGATGGACTTAGATTCACCATCTCACTTTCGAATCGAAGTGTTCCAGTCTGGAATTTAAACTCAACTGCCTGTGTATATCGACGCCCAAGTGTTGGTCAGCCTCTCAGCTCTGGCCCTCTCAGCTAGTCCTTGATTTTGGCTGTTCCAGTGGTGGATACGGCAATGGTCTCGAAAATGCTATGAGGCCATCCAACACACGAATTCAAGCACATTCATGATGCAGCGAAGCAAACTGCCTATATGGGAGTCTATACTGATGCCCTTATGGGTTGGTTTATTGGATCTATAGTGGAAGCATTGTGACCCCCCCCCCCCCCCCCAAGTTGGACGGCTGGTTACACGGCAGTTCCTTTTAAGACATCTCAGGGGCCGACAAGTTCGTTGTCGACACAGACACCGACCAGCTAAACCACTGGTCTCTTGATCGCGGCTTCGGTGGTTTGCCGAAGCACAAGGCCCACCTCCCGAATGCCTTGTGCAGTAACACAACCACTTGTAGGGCAGCCACCTGAGCCGTACGGACTATAATGTCCCAGCATCTGCCAATGCAGTTTTCGAGAGGGCGTTGCAATCCTCGGTATCCCAGTGAGCCCACCACTTGTCTCCAATGCACTGCTTGGGTGGGGATACCTTTAAAATGGATACTGTGGATGTTGCCAGACTGTACCTCTATGAAGTATTTATATGAATATTTTTTGTAGGCCTTGGCACTCCTTCTCACAGCACTCCTTTCCTCCTCCCCATCTCGGCAGCATGAAAACATTAAGATTCCACTGCACATTCCCATGGCAGCCAAGGCTATGAGATAGATAGACCCTTTAAACCTGTGCACGGGACATATGGTAGGGAATGGCGATATTCTACCTCATATCTCGCGTGCATTCATCCTGGTTCTATGCACATGAAGCCAGGAAGGCAGCACCACTCTTTTATAGGTAAGATGTGGAGGTGGGGCAGCCTTGAAGGGAATTGATTCTCTGTACAGCCTGTTGGCATCCAGAAGAAATACCCGAAGGTAATGAATGCTGTGGGTGCTGCTAAGGCTTATAAAATCAGTCTTTACGCGAGTAGTACATTCTTCAGTTTGAATGCTTTGAACAAATGTAGAAGACAATACAAAATCTGAACGCACATGCAGAGTCAAGACACCACGTAAACACAAAGACCATGGTGAGTTTTTAAAATTATAATGAGAAACATTTTTCAAAATAGAGGCTACACAATTGTATGCAAGTGCCAGGTACACTGAACGTTAAAAGCATTTGTTGGATAAGTGGAATTAATTTAAAAGCTCTGAAATAGTTGCTGTTTAATTCATATATATTCAGTTGCAAAAAGGGTGTTCCATTTTAACAACAAAGATGTATATATAAACATGGGAGATTTAAAACTCCACACGTTACAAAAAGGTGCTAAAAATGCAGCACATCACAAAAATATTTAATATTGTGACCGTAAAATGGCTGCTGATAGATTTCTTAGTTTTCTATTCTATAAAAAATATATTAAACATATTATACAAATTTGCATTCAAGTTGGTGTCAGTTTTTAAGTGCTAGATTGCAAAAAAAACTCTTACATCTTTTCTTGGTTTATAGCCTGTTTGAAGGAAACTACTGCAACTAAAAATATGCCCTCTCTTAGAAAAGGCTAAACAGTCATTACCAACAACGCATCTAATTCTCATCATTAACAATGCAAAACTTGACCACCATCTCTTTTTACGGATTCTCAACAAGTGCTGTCATGTCACATTGCACAAGTCAAAAAATTGTCTTTCATCAAAACGACTAGGTTGTACACGTTACAGCCACATGGAAATAAAAGTGTACACGCACACACAATCGCACAAAAGACGAATGTCCACCGCTCTATGCGCAGCATATGCATGTGCGGAACCAACGGGCATGCCCAGAGAGTGCAAGTCAAAGAGGCAGGTACAGGTGTAGGTGGATGTTCTCAGCGAGCGGTAGCTCACAGGTCCCATGGTGGACTCTGCCTACCCTCCACGTCCGTCTCCACGTGGTACAGCAGGTCAGAGAGCGTGTGTTCCACAACGGCATACCACCCCATGTCGCTCATCTGAAATAAACAAAGTGTGCGCCAGATTTATTACGGACATATACTGAAGACGAGTCCAGCTAAAGTGTGGAAAATTTTGATTAAAAAAAAATAACTCACGGGTTGATAGGTCACATCCTTAGGAGGATGCTTAAAGTTTGGTCCAAAGTTGACAGACACCTGCAACAGATGAAATGGTAGAGTGGTGGTGGTTAAACACGGTGGTCAAACATAAACACCCTTGAACCGATGACGCGATGGTTTTTTGCAAACGCACCGAGCAGCTTTTGTAAAGGGAGACAGCCGGGAAGTAAACTCCTTCATAGACGTCCTCGAATGCAGTGCCCTGCCCGACTCCATTCTTGTAAAACACCACCTGCAGTGCACATACAGCCAGGTCAATAAAGTGACGATGCATGGCTTCTGACTAGCATATTTAAAAAAAAAAACGAATAAGAAACATGGGTCCACCTTGCTGTCATGCGCTGGCTTGAGGCTTTTCTCTGCCTTGTCCACAAAGTCCTTTTCTTCAAAGTACAGGTAGCTCTTGAACTTGATTAGTGCCTGTTGGCAAGACCATCATTATCAGTTCATAAACATTTGAACAGAATTGTTTTTATGTGCCACTTCAAGTTTTTATTCTACATTAAAACCATTAATATAACACATGTATATACCATAGGAAAGCACTGTATATATGCTGTCAGAGCCACTTAGATCACGGGGAGAGCTCGTGTTTTTGGCGTAACTATAAAAATAGGCATGAGGATATGAATTATGCTCATGTCCGCAAGGCGGAGCGTAAACACTGGATATATCCACCAACGGAGTCTCATGAAGCAATGTTTGTGATCCAGTCATTTCAGTTTAAATTCTCCTTGGCTTTTGAGTGACGGGTTCAAGTTACATGCGCCTGGCTATCAGACAGCCGAGTGGCCCCCGTGCTCTCCCGGCGTTCGCCCTCCCGTGAGCGTACCTTGTCCTTGTACGTGTCGGGCAGGCAGGTGGCCGTGTGCGTATGCTCAGGTAGCGAGATGAAGAAACCGAGCGTGTCGCCCTGCGCGTAGCCGTCGGCATAGTGTCGCCCGCGCGACTGGTGGAAACGCGTGCCCTTCTTGCTGCGCCACGAGTAGCTGAACTTGTCGTAGCCGAGCGGAGCCTGCAGGTTCCCTGTCAGCAATGGGTAGTTTAGCCTTGGTTGGTGGGAGGCTCGCTTTAGCTGTTGTTACAATACGTATCAGCAAATTCATCTTTTTTGTAATACAAATTCTATTTCTGACAAAATGCAATCCAGATGGTCATGTATAGTGTGGACACACAGAAGCAAAATCAAGTGTCAAAGTGTAGCCTTGGCATTATGAACGAATGACAAGGTGGCACAGCTGATGAACACAACAGTGGTGTATATAATGCATAGGTGTTCACACACACACACACACTCCTACACTTAGACATGCAAACACAATGCGACTCGTTCACATGCAAAGATCTCCCCTCAAGCATACCGACGCTCATTCATAAAGATACATCGTGTCGAGCAGTCAAGCGAGGGAGAAAGTGAGCGGCTCACTTCAGTTCCTGAAGCTGCTGCCAACACTAAAAGAGTGAAACACTGGGCATCAAGCCGAACGAGCATTATTTATTGCCTCTATCCAGCAGTGGATTAACCAAGGTCTGTAACTATACTATTATTACAATACCTGGGGGATTGTTCCACGTGGCTGTCATGGTAGCGCTCCTCAGCAGACGTCTGTTAGTGAATGAGTGCTGCGAGGGTTGGTGCAAAGCATCTTACCGAGGCTTTGTGACCAGCCAATGCGCGCAGCGCTTCCTGTGGGCATCTCGTCCACCGTAGCCTCGAAGTACCAGGCCCCGCGGCGCACACCGTGTGAGGCGCGCACCATCGAGTAGCCCTTGTCACCCGTCACCGTCAGCCGGTCATCGGAGATTTTTAGCTGGGGCGCTAACAATCCAAAAACACGGGAACATATATCAACGGGGTTTATAAACGCAGATGCACTTATATCATGTAATAATATTACATATAGGCTAATGGGAAGAACTAAACTGTAGAAGGGACACACAAAAATAAGAAACGCAAATGAGAGTTAAAACAACAGACCAAGACAGTCGATTCTTCTTCTTGGTTCTTTCGGTAAAGTCACGTAGAAGGGAAGTAATAAAATAATAAAAATAAAACATAATAAAATAATTCTCGCGACGTTTCGGCCACAACGCAAGCAGCCGTCCTCACGTGAATTTACCGAAAGAACCAAGAAGATGATTCCCTGCAGTCACGAAAGCTTTAAATCGAAATTTAAGACAGTCGATTCTTGAGTCAAATCGCGACCCCAATTGATGACAATCCGTGGGTTGGCCGTGGGAGAGGGTGGTGAGAATGTGTGCGTGCCCGGTGTGCACGTCTCACCGCGGTCGTGCAGTGCGAGCAGCACGCGCTCGTAGAGGCACGAGCGGTACAGGTCCCCGGGGATCGGCTTCCCGGCCCACGAGTCCAGCTCGACCCGCTCGGGGTCCGGCGCGTGGGGGTCGGGCTCCGCCAGCACGTAGCGGTAGCCGTCCTTGTTGAAGGGATGCTCCAGCGGGTAGCCGTGGGGGGGCAGGCGTTGTGACTGGAACAGCGGGTCACTGCGCAAGACAATACGCCGCATTGATAGAAATCTTGCAAACTGCCAGGCAGCCGGCGATCCAGCTGGCAGCGGTGGCCCCCACAGCTCCTTCTGCTCCCGTCTGCCTATTCTCCCTTCCGCTTCTATAAGATTTCCATGCTGAAAACGACATTTGTTCAGCTTCCGGAAAAAGGCATGCAGCCAAGCCGACTGCTTCCACGCTGTTCCAGAAGACTCATGTTACGAGAGCGGCTTACTACTCCAGAAGTCACGTAATTATTACGTTATTTCCAATTGTGTGTTTATGTTTTTCACAAACTGGTATATTTTGCAAAACCTGATTCCGTGCCGTCAACAGACACCCAACTTAAGTGTTCATCATCTGCCCTTCATATATAACAGATGGTGGGTTATTGCAGTATACATAGATGAAATGAAATGGTATAACCCATACCCGCTTTGACCTGAGGCAACAGCAGAAAGTGAGACTAGTGATTGTGATCTCTGATAGTGAGTCAAGGTGGTTTAATGATCAAGTAAGCTTGGGTGGCTCTCATCCCTCGTGCACAACCATGAAACATTTGTGTATATTCTACATTCCTATGATGGAGCGAGTCAACCTAGAGTACAACCAACAACTTTTGACATTCCACAACATTTTATTGACCCTGAAGGAACGAGGGACTAAGCTGAACCACAATAGACTCATACAATCATCCGCAACACACACAATATTTTCTCATCTCTCCTTTCCCGGTTTATGATGATCACATCGAGTCAAATGAATGGTTTCGTGCGACAGCTGCCACTCACTGCCGGGTGCGCTTAGCCGTCGGTGGGGTGACGCCTTCTTGCCTCCGCTTTGCGCCGCGTCCTTTGCCGCTGCCACTGATCCCGAAGCCACCTGGTATACAACAGCCTCAAGTCAAGTTCACCTATTTCTTTATATTCGTAGCTAACCTGTTGTACGTGTGGGTGGTGGAAAAAAGGATGGCCATTTTACACGTACAACTCTGGTGTACACATTCGTGGACGAGTTGTAAATTTGACACGGAGGCTTTCGTGAACAATGTTATTCATAACAAATGCTTTCTGGGTTAGATGGCGGAAGTACAAATGTGTCGGTAACCCGCCACTACCCGACAAAGCCAATTGGTAAGGTTAGTTACGTAAACAAAACGTGACAATTAGTTACATCATTGCCCGATGATGTTGGATTTAATTACCAGCGAAACGGCGTACTCAAATTGTAAATGTCGATTTACTCTCCGAAACGTCGGTGGGCTGAAGTAGTAACTAATTTGTACGTGTTGTTTACATGACAAACATTACTAATTGGCTGTGTCGGGTGGTGGCAGGTTAACGACACACTTATACTCATGCGATCTAACCCAAAATACCTTTATTAGGAGTTGTAAATTCTTTACCATTCGAACTGGCTGCAGCGGCCGGTGTCCCAGGCTGCTTCTGACCTTCATACGACGGGCCTATGTTAGTCAGGTCCTAAAGAAAAGAAAAAATAAACATGTTTTTTAATAAATAAACATTGGTAATTGATGTTGCTGTGTGCTGCAGAAACAATTTGTCAATGAGACTATGTTTTCATACAATACATTCATCAGTGTCAGTTGTTGTTGTTGTGTAATAGGCACCTGATCTAAGAGGCCAAACTTTGGGTATTCGTCTTGAGAGTCCTTGCTTCCTGGGTCTGGGTTTTCTTTCACGAGGAATACATCACGCTCCTTCGTCTACACAAACGCACACGTGAAAAACACAACAACATAATCATATTTAGAGGCCAACACGAGGTGAGGTCCTCTACCTACGAAAACCAGTGTTGAAATCTCCCATGGAGACAAGGTCTGCCAAAACTTTTGTTTGGCATTGCTGGGTTTACCAGCGAGTTGGTAGTGGCGTCTCAGGACTTAATGGGCTTCGCATAGATAAAAACTATGGCACAACGCAGCTCAAGAAGTTGAGAACTTTTACTTTCAATGAAATGCAACGGCACTTTTTATTTTTCTTTCTAGATTTGAAGTTTTCGTGACTGCAAGGATTCATACTCTTTGGTTTTTTTGGTAAAGTCACGTAGATAAAAAAATTAATAAACAAAATAGAATGAAAACTACTAAAATAAACTTATTTTGTCTCGAAACACCTACGTTGACCGACTTTCAGCTCTCCTACACGAATGCAAAGATTTGTTAATGACAAAAAATGCTTTAAAATTAGTCGAGTGTATCGATATGACCCAATAGTTAAAGCGGCAAGGACCGATAGTTACTGTTTTCAAATGCATGGGATTCTGTCGTGGTAACACTATTGTGCCGAAGGGTAAATTTTTCTCGATGATGATGCTTTAAACCCGTGTTAGAGAGCCTGGGATGCACAGCCTAGATACGTATAACAAGAAATGTAAAATTTTCTTGGGTCAAGTCTTCTTTCAGGTTTTGCACCACGGGTGCAGCCGATTCATGGGTGTCAGCACCAGCTGTGAAAACTTTAATACACCATCTTCCCACCTCCTGTGGCAGCAGCCTTACCATAGTCTTGACAATGTTGTTCTGCCATGTGAGCTTGTTTGGTCGTTGCCGTGTTGTCATGCATTCCCAGTGTCTGTCGATGAATGGGATGATGTCCTGGTGGATCGTGGGAATCGGAAACACATAAAGCATTATTCTTGGTTCTTTCGGTAAAGTCACGTAGAAGGGAAATAATAAAAGAATACAAATATTAAAAATAATTTTTTTTTTATTTTATTATTTCCCTTCTACGTGACTTTACCGAAAGAACCAAGAATATGAATCCCTGCAGTCACGAAAGCTTTAAATCAAAACATAAAGCATTGTTGCACATAGCTGTGGAACACACAACATTGAATAAATTCATAATTTCAACAATGGCTCAATGAACGTTAACTCAGCGAAAAACACCTACAGCATAGATGGCACATAAGGCAAGAGTCAAGAACATACCTTGTCTTTGGAGAACATTGTTTTGGGATGATCGTCCTGCATGCGTGATGTCCATGTGAGGTTTGCCAGTGCAGTCAGACACATCTCTTTGAGAGCTGTACAAGTACAAGGTACAATACAACCATCTTGATTTTAAGCTTTCGTTACTGCAGAATCCATACTCTTTGGTTCTTTCGGTAAAGTCACGTAGGTATAAAAATAAAATAAATCGTTTTAAAACTGTCTGCATCAGCAGCAGGCCATACTTTCCATCTGATGACGGACGCTTGTGTTGCGCCCGAAACGTCGTGATTTATTTTATTTTTTATACCTACGTGACTTTACCAAAAGAACCAAAGAGTACAATATAACCACTTTAAACCAAAACTTAGGTGTGGCATAAATATGCAGTAGACTTTACAATCATTATACAAGGAAAGCATCATTTACAAAAAATATAGAGTGAGCCTTAAAGTTTAATTTTCTGAATTAAATGTAAGTCTACAAAAGCCAGTGCTTTAAATGTATTTTAGAAAAATTACATTAAATAGTTATTCACTAAATGCCAAGTCACAGCAATGTCGAGCAACACAAAACAAGTGAATTTCCAAAACAGAAATCTAATTAAAAAACACGAAGCACGTTGAAATTAACTTAAGACTCCAAATAATTTCCAAAAACACTCTGAAGCGCTTGCACAACGCGCAGTTGAATAACTTACTTGCAGGTTTTCGTAAGAAGTAGGTGTTGCCACTATGATGGCAAATGTTGCAATGAAAGACATAGTTGGTGATAAATGGAACACACGTGCTGTTGGAAGAGAAATAAGGTCACCGATTTCAAAAAATGGCTAAAATATAACAAGCATGTCTCATCCATGGCAATGATCAACCTTGGTCAAGAAATGTACAAAGATGTACAACATCTATTCAAGACATTTTCTAACAAACACATTCCTGCGGAGGGAGCCGGTAGGAACGTTGGGTTGCTCGGTCAATGGCCAGGGTCAACGGCGGCGTGGTGTATTCCGCAAATATGCCCGACTGTGAGGGCGGGCACAAGCCGGCGTGAGTAGGTTAATCGTTGAGTTTTATAAGGGCACCACGGGGTGACCAGCCCCTCCCCACCCAGCCCCACCCAGCCCCTCCAAACACCCTCCCCACCCAGCCCCTCCCTCCCCACCCAGCTCCTCCCTGCACGACGGACGGACACAATATTCCCCTGTGGGCTGGTGTAACCAGGAGGTTCCTACCAGTAAAACAATTGGCAACAAGAGTTTATTCTACCATGCAAAAAAAAAGACATTTTAGTCCATCTTACTATGGGCATTCGGTACTATTTTCCAGTAGCATTTGTTTAAGACACAGTAAAAAGTCAAAACCAATCCATAGATTTCCTACTTAAGTAAATGCTGCTAGAAGACATCCTGCCGTAAAACATGACATCATTTTGACACAATGTAACTGGCGGCGGGTTGTGTGCTTACCTGGTGTCAATGCTGAAGCTCTCGGCCGTGAACCACTTCATACAGATGCCGCACTGCAGTTCTACATGGCCCTGCCGCCTCTCCTCTTCAACCTCCACTGCAGAAAGTGTTGCCTCCACCACACTCACCTCCTGCATGTGCGCAGATACAACTAATTGCATGCATATCTCAACCCAAATGCACGCATATCGCACCCATATTTCATGCACTTATTGTTTGTGAATTTTGGCAAAAATGCAGGAAGGAAAAGTAATGGCAATACCTCTGTGTCTGGTTGGGATGTGACAGTCTCCTCTTCAATCATTGCTTCTGGCTGATTGTCTGACTTTGCACTGCAGTCAATGGACACAAGAAAGGTACAGAATGTGACTACATACACACATTATTTCCCCAGCAAAGTCCTGATGCTTCTCAATGCTCGTAAACTAGAGAGAAGGCAATACATAAGTGCGTACACATGAAAACAGATAGCAAACATAGCACTTTTTACAGAGGTACTGTACATTCTCTTTGGTTCTTTCGGTAAAGTCACGCAGGTAGAAAGAATTTATAATTAATCGCGACGTTTCGATCGCAACACAAGCAATCGTCATCAGGTAGAAAGATACAGCCGTAGAACTGCTGAACAAGAAAGGGCTGCTGCAACAAGAGGTTATATATAGGTTTGAGGTGGGTGTCACCCAAGGGTAAGTGGGCGGGGTCAGAGATGAAAAGGAGTCCCCTCGCCGTACGCACGCACAACAGCTGTGCCAAAGAAGGATTGGCATGTTAATGCAAACGAGCACAATGGGAAAATGAGCGCCGTCACCGCACACGAGGACCGTTACCGCACGCACGTACAACAGCTGCGTTAATGGGAGAGACATACAGCCTATTGAACAGCGAGAGCTACCGTTACGTCGAGGCAAAAGGGGGCTGCGGTGGCTTTGTCAGTGAAGATAGCATGTCTGTGTCAGAGGACCGGCATAGCGCTACCTCATGGGCAACACAAGCTGCGGCGTTGGCTGCTGCACAGTGAGAGGCCAGCGTATGAACGCCAGAGAACCAAGCAAGCCAAGGGGTGGTACCTACGTGACTTTACCGAAAGAACCAAAGAGTATGGATTCCTGCAGTCACGAAAGCTTCAAATCAAGATTGTACTGTACATTGTGTGCAAATAAGGTAAAAACAACACCCTTTAATCAGTGTACACGTGTAGTAACAGCAGTACACTTCACATAAGGGGCCGTCCATAAATGACGTCACGTGATTTTGACGATTTTTGACATGCCCCCCCCTCGTCACACGGCGTCACAAACCGTCAGACCCCCCCCTCAAATGACGTCACAAAAAGTCAGACCCCCCCCCCCCAAAAAATAAAACACATGCTTCAAATCGCTTTAAACTATTGTCATTGTAGTGCATATTTAATGTGGCGCTGCACTCTGATGTTGTAGGAGAAAACATTTATTAAAGAGTATATTTCTCAAAAAGTCTATTTCTCAACCCCCCCCTCGTCACACATCGTCACAAATGTCTGACCCCCCCCCCCCCCCTAGGTGCGTGACGTTATTTATGGACGGCCCCTAATGTACATAAAGTGTATATTGAAAATAAAATAATAATTTAAACTTTAAACGTACACAGCATCCGCTCCCTCATAGAAAGAGAATTAGTCGGAGGCGTGGACCCACAGACAAGTGGGATGTCATCCAGGTGGTAAGCCAGCGCGAACAAAAAGGAGTACCCAGAGAAAACCCACGCGTGCGAGGAGGCAACACTCGATCCCATTCAGATCTAACGGTTGGGAGATTAATCCAGTTTTCTGTACCGCATCCTCCTGGCAAGCCAAAGCGGTGGTAGCTCAACACCCACGCGGTGTTTGATAAGATTTGTACGACACATCAACCCTCGCCTCGGCAGTCCTGGAATAAAGGCATGCAACACACCCCGCACAGCTGACATACTTCATAATTGTATATGATATGAAGAGACCCCCCCCCCCCCGCAACCACTGAGGTGTGAATAGGCTACTAGGCAAGTACTGTTAGCGAGAACCTATTAAGGCCAGAAAGACCCACAAGGCGGCAAAGTGAGGCAAACACCACACCTGGCCTGTCTATCCAGTGCTGTTTTCACAAAGAACCAAATATTCAATTTCAGTCGACTTTGGGAGATATTCAAGAAATTGCTTACATCAGGAGCAGGAGTCGAACTCCACCACCACATTACATAAAACACACATACTTCAAATACCCATCATACACACACACACACGAGTGATGCTTTGTTAATCGACTAATGGATGAGGGGCCTCTCCACGCCATGCGGGTCGTGGGGATTATTTGACCATACTTCACCACGCCGGTCAACGGAGGTTTGTGAAGGAGGGGAGTATGGAGTATATGCAATGTAAACTGTATGCACGTTAACACTCAAGACTGCACACACTGTAAGAATGTTAACCCCGCAAACGCGTCAACTCGCGATATCAAGAAGCACCAACTCAAACACTCGCGCAATCAAGCCACTAATTGATGCTAAACAATAAAACACCAATACAATATCCTGTAATTCTTGGAACTTATGAGCACGTTTCCCCACACCCCTTGTATTGTAACATCATGGGGGGGGGCGTCTTATAATCCAGTGTGTGCGTGCCCGTGTGTGGCGTGTGAGATGATCGGCTTCTGTGGAGGAGGCTCGTGAAGGACGCTGCTTCTGGGCAGGTTGGAGGCAGTCGCATTCCAGTAACAACACAGAGCGGAGGAGTAACGCTCACAACAACGAGCGGAGCGCTGGACAGATAAGATGCAGCAAGTTGGTACCGTAAGGGGGTACACAGCAAGAATGCATCTATCGGTCATCTCAGTCAGCCAATCCATGGCACCTGCAGTGTGTCCTGTGACCTCCTCCTGCACCTAGCCTGGCACAGCAGTACAACCCATGGCACCTGCCGGGTCTGTCTCGTGACCTCCTCCTGCACCTAGCCTGGCACAGCAGTACAAACCCATGGCACCTGCTGGGTCTGTTCCGTGACCTCCTCCTGCACCTAGCCTGGCACAGCAGTACAACCCATGGCACCTGCTGGGTCTGTCACGTGACCTCCTCCTGCACCTAGCCTGGCACAGCAGTACAACCAATGGCACCTGCAGGGTCTGTCTCGTGACCTCCTCCTCATGCACCTAGCCTGGCACAGCAGTCAACCCATGGCACCTGCAGGGTCTGTCCCGTGACCTCCTCCTGCACCTAGCCTGGCACAGCAGTACAAACCCATGGCACCTGCAGGGTCTGTCCCGAGACCTCCTCCTGCACCTAGCCTGGCACAGCAGTACAACCAATGGCACCTGCAGGGTCTGTCCCGTGACCTCCTCCTGCACCTAGCCTGGCACAGCAGTACAACCCATGGCACCTGCTGGGTCTGTCTCGTGACCTCTTCCTGCACCTAGCCTGGCACAGCAGTCAACTCATGGCACCTGCAGGGTCTGTCTTGTGACCTCCTCCTGCACCTAGCCTGGCACAGCAGTACAACCCATGGCACCTGCAGGGTCTGTCTTGTGACCTCCTCCTGCACCTAGCCTGGCACAGCAGTACAACCCATGGCACCTACAGGGTCTGTCTAGAGACCTCCTCCTGCACCTGGCCTGGCACAGCAGTACAAACCCATGGCACCTGCAGGGTCTGTCATGAAACCTCCTGTCAGCAGCGAGCCTTCGACACTTTACGTGGCAGCCTCAAAGTGCACCTAGCCTGGCACAGGCGCGCAGTGGTGACGCCACCGTCACTCGGTTTTTGGTATTGGACGATCAGCGTTGTGCAGTTTAACACGGAGGCTTTCGCGACCAATATAATCCATAACACAGGTGTTGTTCGGGTTATATCGCGTAAATATAAAGTGTCGTTAAACCCGCCACCAACCAATCAGTAAGGTTGGTCACGTATGCCAGTGTGTTACTTAGTACAGCACGCCGCTGTGTTGGAGATAAAATCCACATTTAAACATCCCGAGTACGACGTTTCACGAGTAACTACAACCAGCATCATCACAAATTTAGCTGTCCGCCTGATGATGCTGGTTGTAATTACTGGCGAAACGTCGTACTCAGATTGCAAATGTTGTGGATTTACTCTCCCAACACACAACCGGTGTTGTTGTACTAGTATACTCCACTATACACTACACTATACACAATACACTACACTACTATACACTACACTACTATACACAATACACTACTATACACTATACTATACACTACACTAAACACTGCACTATACTATACACTACACACTACTATACACAATACACCACTACTATACACTACACTATACACTACACTACTATACACTACACTATACACTACACTATACACTACCCTACTATACACTACCCTACTATACACTACACTACTATACACTACACTACTATACACTACACTACTATACACTACACTACTATACACTACAATATACACTACACTACAATATACACTACACTACAATATACACTACACTATACACTGCACTATACTATACACTACACACTACTATACACAATACACCACTACTATACACTACACTATACACTACACTACTATACACTACACTATACACTACTATACACTACACTACTATACACTACAATATACACTACCCTACTATACACTACATTACTATACACTACACGATACACTACACTACTATACACTACACTCTACACACTAGTGCTGTACTAGTAACGAATTGGCACGTTCTGTTTACGTGACAATCCTCACTAATTGGTTGTGTCGGGTGGTGGCGGGTTTCACGACACATTTATACATCTACGCGTTCTAACCCCGTCCCCCCCCCCAAAAAAACACCTCTATCATGAACGTTGTACAACTCGGTCCGACAAAGCTCGGTGCCGCGTCTTTTGTTGTTTTATAATCCGCAAATATTTTTTTTAAATTAAAATCGCCAACACTTTCACCCGCCACTGTACGTACAGTACAGGTCGAAGGCCGGCGCCGCGGAAGCCGTCAACAGCGCAACGCGGGCGGCAGGAAACCAAAAGAGGCCCTTGCGTGATGGAGGAAGAGGAGGAGGAAGAGGGTGGAGGTGAATAAATAACACATCGCTGAGACCTCTCACCTCTTGTCGGTGCCGGGAGAAGCGAGCGAGCGGGGTCGATCGCCCGACGCCATCTTCCGTCTCTGTCGCCTCCCCCTCCGACCCCTCCCCAAATATCGCGAGACCTCGCATCCTCTGCCTCGTCAAGTCTCGCGAGATTTCCCCCCCACCCCCCCACTCAATCCCCCCCCACTCAACCCCTACTCACCCCCCACTTAACCCCCCACTCACCCCCCACTTAACCCCCCACTCACCCCCCACTCAACCCCCACTCACCCCCCACTTAACCCCCCCACTCACCCCCCACTTAACCCCCCACTCACCCCCCACTCAACCCCCACTCACCCCCCCCACTCAACCCCCACTCACCCCCAATTAAACCCTCACTCACCCCCCCACTCACCCCCCCCCACTCACCCCCCCACTCAACCCCCACTCACCCCCAATTAAACCCTCACTCACCCCCCCACTCACCCCCCACTCACCCCCACTCACCCCCCACTCACCCCCCCACTCAACCCCCCCCCCACTCAACCCCCCACTCAACCCACACTCACCCCCCACTCACCCCCCCACTCAACCCCCCACTCAACCCCCACTCACCCCCCCACTCAACCCCCACTCACCCCCACTCAACCCCCCACTCAACCCCCCACTCACCCCCCCACTCAACCCCCCACTCAACTCCCACTCACCCCCCCACTCACACCCCCCACTCAACCCCCACTCACCCCCTACTCACCCCCTACTCACCCCCCCCCCCCACTCAACCCCCACTCACCCCCCACTCACCCCCCACTCAACCCCCACTCACCCCCCACTCACCCCCTACTCAACCCACACTCACCCCCCCACTCACCCCCCCACTCAACCCCCACTCACCCCCCCACTCACCCCCACTCAACCCCCCACTCAACCCCCCACTCACCCCCCCACTCAACCCCCCACTCAACTCCCACTCAACCCCCACTCACCCCCCACTCACCCCCCCACTCAACCCCCCCCCCCCCCCCACTCAACCCCCCACTCAACCCACACTCACCCCCCCACTCACCCCCCCACTCAACCCCCACTCACCCCCCCACTCAACCCCCACTCACCCCCACTCAACCCCCCACTCAACCCCCCACTCACCCCCCCACTCAACCCCCCACTCAACTCCCACTCACCCCCCCACTCACACCCCCCACTCACCCCCCCCACTCACCCCCCACTCACCCCCCACTCACCCCCTACTCACCCCCCCCCCCCACTCAACCCCCACTCACCCCCCACTCACCCCCCACTCAACCCCCACTCACCCCCCACTCACCCCCTACTCAACCCCCCACTCACCCCCCACTCAACCCCCCACTCAACCCCCCACTCAACCCCCACTCAACCCTCACTCAACCCCCCACTCAACCCCCACTAAACCCCCCACTCAACCCCCACTCACCCCCCACTCAACCCCCACTCAACCCCCACTCACCCCCCCACTCACACCCCCCACTCACCTCCCCACTCAACCCCCACTCACCCCCCACTCAACCCCCACTCAAACCCCCCACTCAACCCCCACTCACCGCCCACATCACCGCCCACTCACCCGCCCACTCACACCCCCCACTCAACCCCCACTCACCCCCCACTCACCCCCCCACTCACACCCCCACTCACACCCCCACTCCACCCCCACTCACACCCCCACTCACACCCCACTCACACCCCACTCACCCCCCCACTCACACCCCCACTCACACCCCACTCACACCCCCACTCCACCCCCCACTCACACCCCCACGCACACCCCCACTCCACCCCCACACTCACACCCCCACTCACACCCCCACTCACACCCCCACTCACACCCCCACTCACACCCCCACTCACAACCCCCACTCACACCCCCACTCACACCCCCACTCACACCCCACTCACACCCCCACTCACACCCCCACTCACACCCCCACTCACACCCCCACTCACACCCCCACTCACACCCCCACTCACACCCCCACTCACACCCCCACTCACAACCCCCACTCACACCCCCACTCCCACCCCCACTCACACCCCCACTCACACCCCCACTCAACCACCCCCACTCACACCCCCACTCCACACCCCCACTCACACCCCCACTCACACCCCCACTCACACCCCCACTCACACCCCCACTCACCCCCACTCACACCCCCACTCACACCTCCACCACCCCCACTCACCCCCCCACTCTCACCCCCACTCACACCCCCACTCACACCCCCCCTCACACCCCCACTCACACCCCCACTCACACCCCCACTCACACCCCCACTCACACCCCCACTCACACCCCCACTCACACCCCACTCACACCCCCCACTCACACCCCCACTCACACACCCCACTCACACCCCACTCACACCCCCACTCACACCCCCACTCACACCCCACTCACACCCCCACTCACACCCCCACTCACACCCCCACTCAACCCCACTCACACCCCCACTCACACCCCCACTCACACCCCCACTCACACCCCCACTCACACCCCCACTCACACCCCCACTCACACCCCCACTCACACCCCCACTCACACCCCCACTCACACCCCCACTCACCATCACCCCCACTCACACCCCCACTCCACACCCCCACTCACACCCCCACCCACTCACCCCCACTCACACCCCCACTCACACCCCCACTCACACCCCCACTCACACCCCCACTCACACCCCCACTCACACCCCACTCACACCCCACTCACACCCCCACTCACACCCCCACTCACACCCCCACTCACACCCCCACTCACACCCCCACTCACACCCCCACTCACACCCCCACTCACACCCCCACTCACAACCCCCACTCACACCCCTCACACCCCCACTCACACCCCCATCACACCCCCACTCACACCCCCCCACTCACACCCCCACTCACACCCCCACTCACACCCCCACTTCACACCCCCACTCACACCCCCACTCACACCCCCACGCACCCCCACGCACCCCCACTCACACCGCCACGCACACCCCCACTCACACCCCCACTCACACCCCCACTCACACCCCCACTCACACCCCCACTCACACCCCCACTCACACCCCCACTCACACCCCCACTCACACCCCCCCTCACACCCCCACTCACACCCCCACTCACACCCACTCACACCCCACTCACACCCCCACTCACACCCCCACTCACACCCCCACTCACACCCCCACTCACACCCCCACTCACACCCCCACTCACACACCCCACTCACACCCCCCTCACACCCCCACTCCACAACCCCCACTCACACCCCCACTCACACCCCCACTCACACCCCCACTCACACCCCCACTCACACCCCACTCACACCCCCACTCACACCCCCACTCACACCCCCACTCACACCCCCACTCCACCCCACTCCACACCCCCACTCACACCCCACTCCACCCTCACAACCCCACTCACACCCCCACTCACACCCCCACTCACACCCCCACTCACACCCCACGCACCCCCACTCAACCCCCCACTCACACCCCCACTCCACCCCCACTCACACCCCCACTCCACCCCCACTCACACCCCCACTCACACCCCACTCACACCCCCACTCCACCCCCACTCACACCCCCACTCACACCCCCACTCACACCCCCACTCACACCCCCACTCACCCCCACTCACACCCACTCACCCTCACACCCCCACTCACACCCCCACTCCACCCCCACTCACAACCCCCACTCACACCCCCACTCACGGACCCCCACTCACACCCCCACTCACACCCCCACTCACACCCCCACTCACACCCCCACTCACACCCCCACTCACACCCCCACTCACACCCCACTCACCCCCCCACTCACACCCCCACTCACACCCCCACTCACACCCCCACTCACACCCCCACTCACACCCCCACTCACACCCCCACTCACACCCCCACTCACACCCCCACTCACACCCCCACTCACACCCCCACTCACCCCCCACTCAACCCCCCACTCAACCCCCACTCACCCCCACTCACCCCCCACACACCCACCCACTCACCCCCCACTCACACCCCGCACTCAACCCCGCACTCAACCCCCACTCACCCCCACTCACCCCCCACTCACCCCCCACTCACCCCCCCCCACTCACCCCCCCCACTCACCCCCACTCAACCCCCACTCACCCCCACTCACCCCCACTCACCCCCACTCACCCCCCACTCAACCCCCACTCAACCCCCACCCACCCCCACTCACCCCCCACTCACCCCCCCCCACTCACCCCCCACTCACCCCCCCACTCAACCCCCACTCACCCCCACACCCCCACCCCACATCCCCCACTCACCCCCCACACCCCCACCCCACCCACGTACGCTAAGCTGCGTGGAAGAATCATGGGGGGGGCCCCTCGTTCACCCTCTGCCATAACCCCCCTACTTGCCCGAGCAGCTTGAGAACACCCGAGTCTTGAAACTGAGGAATTGGGAAGGGGAGTTCACCCAGATCTGGGGAATCGTCGTGAATGACACTCCAGAGACCTTGAGTTTACTCAATTGAACTTGAAATGAGACCGACTCCCTTAAACTCTTTCCCCGTTTCCTTTCCCAAACAAAAGGGATCTGAAGTATCACGTCCCCCTACGGTCCTACACGTCCCCGTTAGTTGTCTGTCCGAGCCACTTTTCCCGCTCTGTACCACTCACCTGTCACGAAAGTTGCATATCCCCCCCCCCCCCCCCCCAACGTGATTGGATCAATAAAAAATCATTTACAAAAAAAAAGTATTGCTTACAAACGGATGCTGCATCTAAGACTGAACTCAAAGAGTGACCAACGTAGAAATATGAAAGAAAAAAACGTTGCACGAATATGAAGACCCGATGATGCAGGCAGTGATGAGAAGAAAACTGGCACTATTTGAACACACGTGGGATGGACAACAGGAAAATGTGAAAGTGTTGTTCACAAGAATGGAAGGAAACCTGAAAGAGAGGAATATCTCACAGAGAATTAACGGCTTGACGACAACATAAAAGATTTGTGCCAGAAAGATGTGGCACTTCTTGAGCCATATTGGCACGAGACAGAGAGGAAAGTGGAAACGAATGACGAAATGTGCAGTGGACACCTACGAACTATCTGCCCATGGATCGTGATGACTCTCTGGCCCGTGTGCTACGAACAAGGGCCATTGCCCGAAACGTTGCCTGTTATATATTTGTTTTTCTTTTGAAGGCCGCAGTGTTATTTACGAATGTGTTGAGTTGTATTTGTTAAAGAACACTTGGGTTTCGATTTAAAGCTTTCGTGACTGCAAGGATTCATATTCTTGGTTCTTTCGGTAAAGTCACGTAGAAGGGAAATAATAAAAATAAAACATAATATAATACAATTCTCACGACGTTTCGGCCACAACGCAAGCAGCCGTCCTCAGGTGAAGAAACGAAACGACCAAAAGAACCAAGAATATGAACACTTGGGTTGTATTTTTTTTCAACCCAGCTGCCTCTAGGCCAGTGTTCTTCACTAATTTTCATAGGGGGGGGGGGGGGGCAATTTCGTCGATAAGACATCAGTGTGAGGGCCGCCACACATTTGAAACCATTGGGATTTGACTAAAACACGATGTGTTTTCACCATGTGTGTATTGTCTGGGGCCGCACGTCAACAGCCGCACTAAAGGCCACCAGGAGCCGCCAGTGGACCGTGGGCCTTGCAATTGTAACAACTCCGGACTCGAACTTGAGGTTTATTTTATTGCACGTAACGTAGCTTAGGACCACGTCGTCCTGAGATGATGCCGACGTGGAGATCGTATGACCGAGCAGACCGCGATGACTTGAAGACAGCGACGACGTGAAGTCAGCGACGATGGCCCGGGTCCTTCTCCACAGACACCGAACATCTCATCTTGCCCTGCTTTTGTCCTCTTGGATTCTCCGGGGGAATTCCCCCAGCTGTCCCTTTTGGACACTCTGGGGAATTTCGCAACCAAGACCCTCCAGACTTGCTGGCGCCTTCTCTTTGCATCCAGCCACACACTGGGGTATTTCCCAACCAAGAGCCTCAAGACTTGCTGGCACAGTCTTTACACATTGAACAACATTGCCTGCCTCTAAGATGTCCACGAATTCCAGCGTAAACACCTGGATCCGTCCATGGGACCTGTTGACTTTCCATGGTGTGGAAGTGGGAACTCGACATACAATATAATGGTTTTCATTCTTTGCAGCAGTGAGCAATGGTGACTATACTGTGCTGATGGCCCCCAATTATGATTAAACCGGTCCACAGTTGTCCATCTTTGCATCACTGCTGCTGCTGTTAATCCGTGACATTTACTCAAGTTTATTTTGATGCTTACCTAAGACGAGGGGAGCACAATGCACCTCTTCAGGAAATGCTGATGGCATGTGCATATACTGCACAGTGAGTTTTTTTACAGTGTTGTTTGAAACATGGCTTTATAGCTCTTGGCTTTCCACACAAACTCATGATGCGTTGCCGCAGAGCAGCGTGTAAAATCAAATACAAACATAACTCTACTCTTTACATGACGTCCCTCCACTCTGCTCCACAACCCAAGGCATTGTGTCACTTATAGAGAAGTCTCTCATCTGCAGCTGCTTTTGATGTCTGTAACATCCACGGTTCAAATTAAGGCTCAAGGTGTCGTTATGCTTCTCTATGACTACCATGCCTCCTTTCTTCCCCCCGCCTGGTAGGCTTCCACTTCAGTACTTCCCCAAGTATGAATGTCTTCAAGTTACGTAATTGTATCCCATTTCTACAGTTTTTTTTAGATGTCACATTAGATGCTATACAAATCTAAAAACATGTTCCTGAGTTCATATCATCATCATTAGCCATGGTCAATCCACTGCTGGATGAAGGCCTCCCCATGCTATCACCACTTCTCATGATCCTGCAATGTGGCAAGACGAATTTTAGCCAAATCCATAAACAGAGACTTGGGGTTGTCCCTGTATGTAGCATGGTAGTAGTCACCTCCAAGTTATGAATAAACATACACATTACAAGGGTCATTAACATTCCCAATAGCAGTGTTGCAACTTATTTTGTTTCACAATCTTCAAAACAGGATCATATGCAGAACAGTACATTTATGAGAAAGCACAGACAAATGTCGACAATGACATTGATTGATTAAAATTTTAATTGTAAAGCTGCATGACTTTTTTTTTTAAGAATCCGAGAAGTGAGTGTTACAGTGTGCATGTAACATCTCCCATCTCAACATACACAGTCTTGAGCTGAGTGTAATAGTCCACAGTGGCCATTCCATTCTCCCTTCCAAACCCTGGAGAGCACACAAAACTGTCATGAACATTTTATAAGAAAGAACACATGGCGAAAGTCAACTGAGTTGGGAAGTTCGCTCGAGTGACAGTGATGTGACAGTGACAGGTAAAACAGTGATACAACGTTTGTTGCAGAGATTCACGCTTCAAACCCCAGCAGATGCCCTGCGAGTGTATGAACTGTAAAAAGTAATATTTGAAAAAACTTTTTTTTTCAACACGCTTTTATGAAATGTACTAGTAATGGCAGAACTCCACGACTCCAGGAAGTGGCCCGAAGCTTGCCATCACGAAAGGGACCGTGGCCAATTACAGCCAACGTCAGTTGAGCGTGGACAATTAGACCCAAATCGAAACATAACATATAAAAAATAATGTTTAAAATATTTTTTTTAATGATAGAATATAGTATTGTCATCAGTATGACATAAATATACCAAGTTTGCAGTCGATACCACATTGGGAAGTGGGTTGAAATTTAGTTACAAGATTTGAGGATACAACAACAACAACAGAGTGAGTTAAAAGAAAGCGTGTAAAATAGGCACCATTTGCTTCTATGCAGGTGTTACAAATCCCACTACGTTGTTTGAAAAATAGGCAATGCTTTCCAGTGTCATGGTCCAAAAGTTCAAAAGTGTATAAGTTACTCACAAATTGCTTATTTGGGAAACCACATTTCAGAATCGGCCCCTACTGGCAGACTAACGCTCACTTGCAGGCCGGTGCCGTATTCACCTTGCAGCTGCCACCAGGTGTCCTCTGCCAAAGGGCACCTCTAAATTGACTCATTGGAAGGGCATGGAATAAATGTTAAGCAATGATGACGATGCATTACGTACCAGACATCTTGTAGCCTCCAAAGGGCATCTCCATTAAGACAACGTTGTAGTTGTTGATGTAGCAGGACCCAGCTTGCAGAGCAGCTATTACACGATGGGCTCGAGTCAGATCTCTGGGGATACAATGGAACAATAACCAGATATGACAAGCCAATACATGTTTGGCATCTTCAATTATTAAGGTAATTCAGGTGTGTATATATATATAAAATGAAATGTGCGTATGGAAGTAGGCAAATGGATGTGCACATTAAGTGCGCAACCTTTCACCCACGTAATTGGTTCGCAATTTTACAAATTTTTTCAAGGATTATTTGTATTTTGTTAAAGCAACTATACAGATTTTGGCAAAGCTATTTTGTAGGCTGTTTGGTATGTTTTGTAGCGATTGGTTTAGGGGTATTATAATTTTTGTGAAAAATAGAAGATGTCTCCTCAAACGGACAGCCAGAGACGGACATCCTGTATTTTACCAGGCATTGGATTAATAAACCTTTTGGCTCCCTTAAAAGAGTCAGTTCCTACGCATCAGACTAATCTGGGAAAATAATATGGAAGAATATATACATCAGCCATACTTTATATATTACTTGTATCAGCAGTGGCACATTGAAATTACTTAAATAACACGGACTTTTACCTACTGGAGTACAATTCAGTTGAATTTGGGACCTGTCAGTGCTGCCTCTGGTGTCCCTGGGGTCCGTAGTTGTTGTTTGTGCAGGGCCCTTGTCGCTTCATCCTGGGCTGTGCTGCCCCAGTGTTGTTCTCTCTCCTCTCTCCCGCATGGGTTCCCCCCCTTGCTCTGAGCTCCCATTCTCCCCAACCTCACTCTTCTACCCCCAAAATCAGGTTTTGATTTTTGTAAAGCACCTTGAGATGTGATTGCATTTAGATGGCGTATAAACTGGATTTGTTGGTGTTGTTCCTCACTTAGTGAAAACGCCGGCTGCCAATCCAAAGTCTGTCGCATTTGCCCTCTGCAACACCTCTTCCTCCGTGTCAAAGGCGAGGACGGCCATGACAGGTCCAAATATTTCCTCCCGCACGGCCTGCATGTCGTCCCTGCACTCCGCTGTCAGGCAAAAGTACAGCCGTCAGTTGTTATTCAAGGCCACCGTGGATATATTGGCTAGGTGCAGTTCCAAATGCCAAAATTCATACATTTATATATAACCTGGTAGTGCATTTGTATGTAAACAATCAAGCAAATCTTTTTTTATAAAAGCCAAGAAACATATTATTTATTGAATAATGGTTTTGCAGTAGAGTGAGCAGCTTGAAATTTGAAGGCTGCGAGTTCAAATTCTAGTAGGGGATTGGCATGGCCTATCATCCCTCCTCTGGTTTGAAAAAGATTAGTACCAGTTTGTGGGGAAGTCAAACGTGGTTGTTCTATGGAAAGACTCCACCTTAGCCAAAGGAATATGGAATCTCCACCACTGCCTCAGGGCTGTAAACTATGGACAGTACAAATTAACTGGGGATTTTATTCTATCACGGAGTGAATACACGTCACATCATGGAATCAATCTATGGAACTGTAAGCTTAAAGGTGTGGCCACATTACTTACCCAGAACACAGGGAGTCATGAAGAACCCTCCCTTAAGGCTGGGATCCTCAGGAACATATTTTTTGCCACCGCAAACGAGCTTTGCTCCCTGTACAAATAACCACATACACACGACCTGGTTTTACAATGACACTTCACCTTGATTACCACACACGACGTGCTATGTGTTCATGATTTTATTGATGGTGTGAGCACACCCCACCTCCTGCACGGCCCTCTGCACGTAGCCCAGCACCCTGTCCAGGTGGCTCTGGCTGATGAGGGCTCCCATGGTGGTGCCGTCTTGCTGGGGGTCTCCGATGCGGATGGCGTTCACCCTGTCCAGCAATCGCTCCAGGAACCGCTCGCACACGGATCGCTGGACGAACACTCGTGTCGCATTGGAGCACACCTGCGCAGAGGCACACACCAGTGGCGTAGCTATCAAATGTGCAGGCGATGCAACTACATACATCGGGGCCCACGAGCCGGACAGGCCGAGGTGCCAGGCTGCAAAAGGGTGAGGAGATTGGACTGGATGAGAAGGCTCATTTCATCTCTCCATCAGGGCTCATGTGAACCATGCTACACCACAGGTGTAAATGCCTGTGATTCAGCGCTGAGGAGGAAAGCACTGGTGGATAGCGTGGATATATGAGACAGACCATCTGACATATCGCCGATGGCTGCCCAACACAACACAATTATTCTGGTGGAACAAGCAGACTCCCCTCAGCTACCTTGGATGCCATGGAATGGCTTCGAAAATGAAATATACAATTGTAGCCTGTTGCTATTTTCAAATTCCATATGAAAGAATGAGACTCAAATCCGGCCGGGCTGTGTCATGTCCAGAAGATGGAGGTATAAAAATTTGCCAAGCATCCTACTGAAGGAGCCTCTTAAAAATCGGGTCTAAAGAGTCAGCGAGGCTTTCCTGGAGTATGACATGGAGACACATGGAACTTTGAAATCTCATCTCAAAACTAATGAACTCATTATATTCACCGAACAGATAACCACAACACTATTTTAGCACATTTAAAGAATGCAATATATTTTGTATATTGGAAACTACTGATCACTGAAAATATCATACACCATAACAATCATACGCAGTGTAGTTATCAGAAAATGTCCAATAGCTGTAGGTGCAATTGCATGTAAGTCAAACCAACAGAGTACCCCTTGCCATCTCAGTGAAATGTGCAGTGACGAATAAAGGGTACATTTTTTGTTACGGCCAAGCTTGTTTTTGAGAAGTCTTCAGCTGCCAGTGATAATAATACGGTTTGTTGAGGTGTATGACGCTGGGGCTGAACTCTACAAGGAGAGGTGGGTAAGGTGAGAGGCATTCGCCTTCCCAGCGGGACTGCCAGGGCTGAGACGGCTCACCTGTCCCTGGCTGAGGAAGTTCCCCATGAGGGCTGCCTTGACCGCGTTGTCCAGGTCGCAGTCGCTGAACACGATGAGGGGGGACTTTCCCCCGAGCTCCAGGGTCACGGGCTTTATCCTTGGCGCTGTCTGTTGCAGCACCTACAGAAGAAGCATATATATTGCATATATTAGCAGAGTACGTTTTTTGTTTGCATTCTGACCACAAGTATTGTGGTTAATGCAGAAATGATTCCTTGTAAAAGGTTTCAGTTTGGTGTTTTAACATCTTAACACCTGGAACCTCATTTGCCAGTAAAAAATATGATAATTGTTTTTTTACCCTTCCATCTGGCAACAAAACTGACACCTTTTTTACAAGGAGTCATGTTTGCATAGACCACAATACCTGCAGTCATAATGCAAACAAAAAAACATAACTCTGATAACGTGCACTGTCCAACCCATGTGAGACTAGGCTCTAAGGAAAGCTGTCTCGGGTGTGGACCAATCAACTTCAAGGACAGTGCATACATTATCAGAGTTGTGTTTTTTGTTTGCATTATGACTGCAGGTATTATGGTCTATGCAAACATGACTCCTTGTAAAAAAGGTGTCAGTTTTGTTGCCAGATGGAAGGGTAAAAAAACAATTACCATCTTAACACCTGTTTTGTTGCCAAAAAAAGGGGAAACCCATTCTCATATTTTGGTACTGGCAAAGGAGGTCCCATGATAATTTTGTTTTAAAAATTAACACGAGTTTGCGCAGTCGCTTGTCATCCAAGTGTAGTTGTCGTGGTTGCGCTGTGTGTTGAGAATTTCTTCTCTCAAGCTTTTGCCACGCGCTACTTGCTGGTGGTTGTCTTGGGCTCCAGAGAAGAAATGCTCAACATGCAGACTAACCTGAAAAATCGCACTTGAATCATGACCGTTGATTAGCCGGTTGACTTTAAGACACTTGTGATAAAGGTTTAGATAGAAGCCTGATTGCACAGAGGCAGTAAAATAAAAAAAAATCTGGCTTTGCTAATATAGACGAATATAAAAATGCATAATTTTAATCATTATGCTCATGATGTACATGTAAAATCAAGCATGTGACAATGGATATTTACATTTCATACAGAATATATGCAAATCGAATGCTCATGTTACATATAGGTTAAAGAGGAAAACTAAACTGTACAGATGAGGCAAAAACCAGGAAATATTTAGGTCATACAATTTTGATTTAAAAAATAACATTTGTTGAACAAATGTGACCCTGAAATTTGTTTAAATCAGGGTGAATTATCGCATGCAGACAAATTATTGCTAAAAATAAAATGCTAAAGCAAGTTGAGCCTGAGTGTACAAGAATGTACGAGTTCATGGTATGCAGGCCTCATTTCTCTATCAATAGTTTTCAGAACACTGCTAGGCTGACTTTAGGTAGGGATTTGTGGCATAAGGCACCACCACTGTTGTACAAGGTATGCTTATCCATAATACATATTTTTTTAACTCTATAATATAAAGTACTGTCCTTAAGGACATCCAGTAGCCCTGAGCAATATTGCCGCGTGTTTATTACACATAAGGCGGGATGGATGCGACCTGCTAAAACAATTCCCAGAGTCACGTTCCGGACTGTTCCAGCTGAAATTAAGTGCTGATAAGAAAAGGCTCTTCCATGCACCTGGCTCATTCGCTTGTAAATGTCCAGACAGAAGCACGCGCCTCTCCTGCTTGAGTGCTGGAGCCCTCACCTTGACGCCTGTGCCCACGCTGCCAGTGCAGGACACCTTGGCCACGTCGTTATGGGAGCACAGCAGCTGCCCGGTTTCCCCATCGCCCTGGACGATGTTAAAGAGGCCCGGTGGTAAACCGGCCTCGGTGTAAATCTCCGCCAAAGCCACGGCGGTCAGCGGAGTGAGGGGCGACGGCTTAAATACCATTGCATTGCCTGCACAAGGAAACACATGGTAGCACTCATTGCAAACGTTGATGCCATACATTGCAACGAAGATTATAGCTTTGGGCTGAGGACGATGCTTTTTTGTTTGTGGTGTTGCATTGCATCATTTAGGTGGTCACTGGCTGAGCACATGCGTGGCGTTTATGTCCGACTGTAAATTTAACTGCTAAATATCTCAAGACAATTCCAAAGAAGCATTCATACTGATGATGAATACCAGGGGTGGAGAAACTGTTTTTCACTGAGGGGCAAATAGGAATCTCAAATACCTTTGGCAGGCGACACATTAACACACACGCTCAATCACTTGTGAAGTATTGGAATTGACGGCAGGAACTTCTTGACGGGAACACACTTTTATTAAATCTTTACGTGTCACAATACAACGTGTGGTCTCCCTTCTTCCGACTACACACTCCACTAATCTCGTGTAAACTCTAGGCCTCTGGCTACACACGATACACTTCACTCGTGTAGACCCTATGCCTCTGGCTACACAATACACTCGACTCGTGTAGACCCTATGTCCCTGGCTACACACAATGCATTCGGCTCGTGTAGACCTTATGCCTATGGCTACACACACTACACTCGCCTCTGGGTTACACAGAGTCCCGGTCCCGTTAGGACAGCGGGACTAGGTACCGCAGGGCCCTAGGTCTTCATCCCCGTCTTCATTCTTCGCTGGTTACACACTACCCTTACGCCTGTGTGCATCCCCTTTTATAGCCCCTGCTCACGAGAGACGGAGCTGATGCGGACGTCGACGTGAGCATCGTTCCTTAGTGAACCAATCACGACGCACTCTCTCTACGATCCGTTTTCCCCAGCGCGTGTTAACACTCCTCCTCCAATCACACCGCGCTGCCACCTGATCACTCCCTCTCAGCGCGTCACCGGCCCACAGCCAATCAGTACCCCGTAACCCACGACCCCGCGCTGACCCCTGATCCTCCACCGTCAGCGCGCGTCACCACCTACACAGCCAATCATTACGCGCTGGCATACGATCCCTAATCCCAGCGCGTATCACCACTACATCACCCCCTCCCACATAGCTTGCAGCCGGCCCGGCTGTTAACCAACAACACAACCTAACGTCAACGCAGTAATAAAGAAACTCCACCTCCCAGTGTGCCCCGTAACGCAACAACAACAACACAACACAACACTTAAATACGAAGCAATATACAGCCCGACGAACAATACAGTAAAAGCGAACACCGTAAAACGAACACGCCAAGTGTCACTCTGACTAAACGCAGTGCCGAGGCGCTCCGGCTGCCTCGACTCCTCACGTGGTAGGTCACACAAAGTAGCGCGACCTAGCGCGAGTCCGTCTGGCCGGTCCGTCGTATGGGACGGGACGTTGGCGACCGTCCGGTGGCTCCGGCAGCTCTAGACGGCGCGGATCGGGCCTGGAAGGACCGGCCCCGCCGTGAAGATCCGGCCGCCGGTGGTCGGCAGCTGTCAGTTCCGAGACACCTGGGAGCGGATCAGGCGGAGACATGTGAGGAGCAGGCAAAGACAATTCCCCCTCAGGGTCGTCGGTCACGTCACATGCTCGGCCCTCACGACACAAGGGGAGGCCATACGGAGGCGAGAACGGTTTCAGTCGGGAGGGGTGGACGTACCAACGGCGTTTTCCCCATTTTATCTGAACGCACTGGGGGCGTGCAACCCGCACGACCTCCACGGGTCCCCGCCACAGCTTCAACAATTTAGGCGACGTAGCCAAAGGTGCCTGAGGGCAATGCAGCCAGGCCCTGTCACCTGGTTCCCAATTGTGCACGGACACCTTCCGTGCCCGCAACCGCTCGTTTGCAATTTGGCGAGCCCGCGAATTAAGCCGTGCGGCCTCCCTTGCCTCTGTCAGCTTATGAATATTAAATTTAATATGCTCTGCCAATTTCGAATTAGTTCGTGGTGCAGGCAGACCCAGCTGCGTTTCCATGGGCGGGTCGGCTTCCCGACCGTACATTAGATAAAACGGGGAAAATCCCGTTGCTGCATGGGGGGCCATTCTATACGCGGCGAGGACCTCAGGGACCTGCAGGTCCCAATCAACATGTGCCTCACACACCTGCTGGCACAGCATAGAAGTCAATGTCCTGTTAAGCCTCTCCACCATCCCGTCCGTCTGCGGGTGGTACGGGGAGGTACGCACCTTCTTGGTACCCAACAGGTCGCACACCTCTTGCAGTAATTTACTCGAAAAATTTTTCCCTTGGTCAGTCAGCAAGCGTTCGGGAGCCCCCTTGTCCAGGACGTAGCCCTGGACAAAGGCGTCCGTCACAGCCGCCGCCGACTGGTTGGCGAGTGGCCACGCCATAGGCCACCGGGTAAAATATTCGACCCCCACCAACAGGTACTTATTACCCCTAGGCGTGACCGGAAAAGGCCCCAGAATATCGAGTGCAACGAGCTCGTTAGTGCGCGAGACCTGAATAGATTGCAGCGGTGGATTAGCTGCCACGGGCGGTGGTTTCCGTCTGGCGCACTCAACACAACCCTTCAGAATATTCACCACGTCACCCCCCATTCCCGGCCAATAATAGTCACGCTGAAGCAGGGCAAGCGTTTTGTTAACTCCCAAATGCAAGAGGCGTTCGTGTGCGGCCAAGACAACCTTCTCCCTCACAGCAGAAGGCACCACAATCGCATGCCGCCGGGACAAACTGTCCCATCTCATCAACAGGCCTTGCTTAAGCTCGTAGGAGCCAGTTCGGTCGTGGTTACCTTCGGAACCCCCCGTCTTGCGGCGCAATGCCAGCAGGGAGCTGTCCGCCATTTGGAGACGGCCCCACTCAATCAACGACAGTGAGAGCAGCGAGTCCTGACCCCCTGGGGTAGCGGGACCATCCCCAATTGGTGTGCTCGCGGTCGCAACCAACGCCTCCCTACCTTCCGTAACCGGCGGTTTACAGCGCGCCGATCCCGATAAGCACGCACATTTGTGACAAGGCAACAACCGCGACAGAGCATCGGCATTTGTGTGTCGCAACCCTTTATGGTACGTAGTCGTGAACTGATAGTCCTGGAGGACTTCCAACCACCGCGACAATTGGCCCGAGGGCTGGGCGACCCGCAATGAATACTGGAGCGCCGCGTGGTCCGTCCGGACCGTGAAATGACGACCATAGAGATATGGCCTGAATTGTTGTACAAAAAAAACAATGGCAAGCAGTTCGCGACGGGTGACGCAGTAGCGCTGCTCTGCCGGCGACAACACCCTGCTACCATAGGCGACCACTCGTTCGACCCCTCCAACGACTTGGGACAGCACTCCCCCAATGCCCGTGTTGCTAGCATCCGTGTCTAGCAAGAAGGGACTCGCAAAGTCCGGATAGCGCAAGGGTGGGGCCCTAACCAAGGCGTCCCGGAGGGAGCAGAATGCAGCCTCCTCCTCCGGTCCCCATCGGAACTTCACTCCTTTCGCCGTTAGAGCGTGCAAGGGTTTTGCAATGGTGGCGAAGTGCTCAACGAATCGGCGATAATACGAAGCAAAACCGATGAAACTGCGCACGTCTGACACTGACGTGGGCGTCGGCCACGAACTGACACAGTCCGTCTTCGCAGGATCGGTATAAATCCCCGAAGAGTCGACAATGTGACCCAAGTACCTCACGGATTTACGAAAAAGGTGGCATTTGGCCGGTTTAAACTTTAATTTAGCCGATCGCATTCGCAAGAACACCCCTCTCAATCGCTGGAGGTGTTCTTCAAACGTTTTACCGAAAACAATGACATCGTCAAGGTAAATGAGGCACGTATCCCACTGCAAGCCCGACAAAACCAATTCCATAAGACGCTGAAACGTCGCAGGAGAGGAGTGAAGTCCCATGGGTAACCGGTTAAACTGAAACAGGCCCCCTGGAGTCCGAAATGCAGTCTTAGGCTTAGACTCTTCGTCGAGTGGCAACTGCCAGAATCCGGATAATAAATCAAGAGTCGAAAAGTATCGCGCACCAGACAATGCGTCGAGAGACTCGTCCATCCTGGGGAGCGGATACGTGTCGGCCACAGAGATCTTATTCAGGCGACGAAAATCGACGCAAAATCGCAGGGACCCGTCCTGCTTTTTAACGAGCACAATAGGTGCTCCCCAAGGACTGGAAGAAGGCGAAATAATGTCAGCTTCTAGCATATCGTTAACTGCCGACTGAACATGTTCCTTCTCAGCAGGACTCAGTCGGAAGGGATTTTGCCTGACCGGTGCCGCATCGCCCGTTTCAATGTGGTGGCGTAGCAGGTCCGTGCACCCAATGTCATACTTATGTTTACTTTAGACATCCGAAAATTCAATCAGCAACCCGCGCAGCGCACCCAACTGTACCGCTGACAAATCGTCAGAGTCCGCGCACAGCGAATCAACCCAATCGAGGTCCTCCTTCAATGTTACGTTTTTCGTGGGGCTCGGATCAGCCTGCGCAACCAGCCTCTCCTCCGCAGGGACCCGCGCCGCGTGAGCTAGCACGGTGCCCTGCTGAATGACGGCCGGCCGCGCCCCAGTGTTTAAAACCATCACAAACGGATCCCTGTCAGCCCCAACCAAAGTGTGAGCCACCGACAAATCGAGACCTCCAACAGCCCTATTAGAAGGACCCAAAAGCATGCCCTGTTCCGAGGCCTCCTTCACCCATGGCTTCCGCAACCGGAGGGGAATTAACATTTGTGAACCCGGGGGCACGTGCACGGTCTGTGTCGCTAACGCCTGTATGGTAGCGCACGCCGTCCGAATTACATTAGGGCTCGTCAAAAATGAAATACGGCGACCCGATGGTAGTTCAATGCAACGCTGATCAATGAGAATTTTGATGGGCATTTTTGCCAAAAAATCAGTGCCCAATAGACAAGGAACCGCCAGGGAGGACGAAACGAAAACGGGTCCCGACAATTTGATATCACCAATGCAAATGGACGCCCTAATCTGACCGATAATGCCCAACGATCCCCCGTTAGCGGCGTAAAATGGCACATCCACCGGAAGAAGCGGACGACATTGTACAGGGAGAATATTATAAATGAGATCCGATATAATAGTCGCCGATGCCCCCGTGTCCACTAACACCCTGACCTCGACCCCATCAATAGATCCGGCAACGACGGATGAACCCGCTGAGGCAGCCACTATTCTGTGCCCCAACTCCGACCATTTAATGTCTCCCCGGTCCCGGCCGAACCCCCCTCTCCGAACCGAATCCCCGAACTCTACTCGGCTCTCCCCCGCCGCAACGCGACGACCCATACGTGTCGAGTATGCGGGCCAAGCATGTGAGGTGCCGCGACTTGCCGGGGTTTGCAGGGATGACTTGGGGCCTTGTTCGTCGTCCAGCCGAGGTCCCATGGCGCGCTGACGTGGGGCGCGGCAACCGGAGGCCACGTGGCCCCGGAGGCCGCAGTTATAGCACGTGATGACAGTCGTCGGAGATCTCGGTTGCTCCAGCTTGCGGGCCGCTCGCAGAGGCGAACGACCCCCCGACCTCCAGTCCCCCGGTCGTCCCGCGATGAACGCCTCCTCTCGTGGGCTGACGACTTGGGGCACGGTGACAACCGGGCCCGGAGTTGAGGCCACGGCAGCGTTGCAGACGACCCCCTGTTTACGTTGAAGGACCTCATGCGCTTGTATGCTCGTGGCGACCCGTAAGGAAGAAATATCGGTCTCGTCGGCCGTGTTGATGGGGACCCCCAGGTCCTGCGCCAACTTGAGCAGCTGCTCCAAAACCATCGCATCTTGGCCCTCCTCGTCCATACGAGGGAACGCGGCGTCGGCGAGAGCAAGCAACGCCGTGCGGTAGGCGAGCACGGTCTCCGTGTCCGCCTTCCGTCTTGCATAAAAATGATGGCGGCACGCCGAGGGAGGACCATAGACCTTGGCCATGAGAACCAGCGCATCCTTGAGCGTGGAGCGGTCCGACCTGCGTGCGGACGTGAAGGCCGCGAGCGCGTTGTCGTCCAGCATGGCAGGCAGTGCCCGCAGTGCCGTAGCGTCGGACCAGGCGGACATCTCCTGATGCACCAAAAATCTGCGCTGAAATTGGCTCCAATCCCCGCCTTCCGCCTTGAAGGCTGACAACGTGGGAAGGCGCTGCTGAAAGATGAAGTCGTCCTCCTCCTCGTGCTTCCTCTCTGCCGCCCCGTCGGTGTGTAAGATGGCGGCCCCAGTGGCGGGTGTGTGATGGCGGTCCGCCGCGCGCGTTGGTGACGTCAGCGGGCGCGCATGGAGAACCGCTGCCACGTGGTGATGGCCGTTCCCGCCAAAAGTCGGTGCAGATGAAATGGCGGGAATCGCCAAATCGTTTTGGCGGGAATCTGCAGGGCGACCCTGTAGAACGTCGGCCGCCATCCCCGCTCCTCCCGACGAGCTGATCTCCGCCAGGATGGACGCGGCGGCGAGCAGCAGCTCCGCCAGACGGGAGTGCGCCTCGCGGAGCACGGCGTCAGTCCCCCGTCGCTCGTCCGGCGCCGTCGGCGGATCCTGCCCCGTGGGCAACTCCTCTTCCTCACCCCCCGATGCCAGCTGGCCCGCGTCGTCGAGGTTGTCCCCGTGGTCAATCCCGTGGGTCCGACGGCTCCTCCTTGTATCCATGCTTGGAAGACCGTTTCACTTCTGACGCCAGTTGAAGTATTGGAATTGACGGCAGGAACTTCTTGACGGGAACACACTTTTATTAAATCTTTACGTGTCACAATACAACGTGTGGTCTCCCTTCTTCCGACTACACACTCCACTAATCTCGTGTAAACTCTAGGCCTCTGGCTACACACGATACACTTCACTCGTGTAGACCCTATGCCTCTGGCTACACAATACACTCGACTCGTGTAGACCCTATGTCCCTGGCTACACACAATGCATTCGGCTCGTGTAGACCTTATGCCTATGGCTACACACACTACACTCGCCTCTGGGTTACACAGAGTCCCGGTCCCGTTAGGACAGCGGGACTAGGTACCGCAGGGCCCTAGGTCTTCATCCCCGTCTTCATTCTTCGCTGGTTACACACTACCCTTACGCCTGTGTGCATCCCCTTTTATAGCCCCTGCTCACGAGAGACGGAGCTGATGCGGACGTCGACGTGAGCATCGTTCCTTAGTGAACCAATCACGACGCACTCTCTCTACGATCCGTTTTCCCCAGCGCGTGTTAACACTCCTCCTCCAATCACACCGCGCTGCCACCTGATCACTCCCTCTCAGCGCGTCACCGGCCCACAGCCAATCAGTACCCCGTAACCCACGACCCTGCGCTGACCCCTGATCCTCCACCGTCAGCGCGCGTCACCACCTACACAGCCAATCATTACGCGCTGGCATACGATCCCTAATCCCAGCGCGTATCACCACTACACTTGTGTTATTGCAGGTGGCCCTGACAGTAACAGAAGTGACTAAGTGTGTTTCTAGAATTAAAAACAGTGTTGTTAGGTTGGCAATATTCCCCTCTAATACCCGATTAGTGCGACTAAGATCTCCGCAGTTACGGGTACATATTGTTTGTTGGTAGTTTCTAAGTGGATTGGCAGGCCTCATGTTGCCGCAGGCCAGATATAATGAAGTTGCGGGCCGGATACTGTCGGTTCTCCTCTGCTGGAATAGACCAGACCATGGCCAGGTGATGGAGTTTCTGCTTTGGTATCTCCTTTGCAATTGCTCTCAACACTTCAATCTTGAATACAAATGTAAAGACAGGCAGGTGGCACGGTACCGCACGCCAGGGCTGGGGCAGACTTCCAGCAGGCGATCTGAAAGGGGAAGTTCCACGCTCCGATGCCCACACACACTCCCAACGGCTCCCGCCTCGAGTACATGAAGGAGCCGCCAGGGAGTTGAATGTGCTGTCCTGACGATGGGGGGAAGACAGCGCGCGGTGAGTTAGCGAGTCCTATATCTGTGCTTAGGCATCAAAACAGAGAATGGGTCGTATTGGTCTGAGACGATTGTGAATGTATTCTCGAAACAAGGGGCTTCCAAAAATGCTTTTGAGACAGTTTTTTTAAAAAGTGCACAAACTCACACTTCTCAACCACAAATGGGAATTATGTAAATGTAATTTGTACACGTACAGCCATTTTGTCAAACCACTGCTGGACAAGGGCTTCCCCCACACCGTGTGGGTCATTCATGGGAATTTTTTTTTACATACTTCACCACGCTGATCAGTGCATGTCGAAGGCAGCGAGCATAGATGTTGCAGCATAGAGGTAAAGTGCAACACTTGATTTCACTTTACTGTCCTCTGTTGTCCACAATGATTATCATGTGGTCTCTTAACTAAATCAGATTTTAAGTGATTGTAAGCTAGGTAATATACTGCAATCCCATTTTTTCACTGCCTCTCAAAAAATTAATGTGCATCTACACATACTGCAAACTCATTTATCACCACAGCACCTTATGGACTTACCAATATATTTGCATTATCAAAGGATGGAATTTTATTTTCTAAAGCAGCAATGTATAGAATTCACTCTCAAAACATTACAGTATAAATTGACTGGATATTTTTTTCTTCATCGTCAACGTTTTACGAGGCATTTACAATCATTCACGGGCCGTTGTCGATGCAGCAAAAAAGTTCACACAACAGGCTCTGCTGGCTGGATGCCCACTTCTAACAGCCGAAGGCATCCCAAGAAGCCCCGGTGCCCACTGCCCGATTTCGGTACCGGCGATGGTGGGAGCGAGTCCCGCAAAGTACTCCAGGCACTGCCACCCCGAGTCCACATCCATCCGCGCCTCGTACACCGGCTTGCCCGTGTCCTTCACCTCCATCACGGCCAACTCCTCCCTCCTTTCCTGCGCAGCAAACAAAACGACCTTTCGACATCGCCCCTCCGCTTCACGACATGCCACCTTGGCTCAGAAGCCTCTTTGAAAAGCCAGCCCCTTTGAAAAAAGTGCCAGTGGCGTTTCCAAGAAGAGACAAAGCCACCCGCTGTTCAGATGGGGTGAGAGGGTTCCCACATCTAAGAAGATTGGCTACACAGCTTGTGGCTGGGACCAACGAACAAGAGCAGTGCTTGCCATTCGTTGTTAATTGCCTCGGTGTTTTGTTAAACATTATTAAACTATGCGTGGGAGCATGTTTAGAGGCTGGAATTTGAATAATTCACCATTGCCAAACTTCTGCTGGCAGGCCTGCACAATGAGAACTACATGAAGCCTTGGCATTTGAAGTGCCCATTCGTTGTACAACACAAAGAGGAGTTAGAAATGGACAAGTGAAAATCCTTTATGTCTATTAAAGAGTGAATTCATGATGTGCATGCAAGTTATTTTAAAGGACTTGAGGAGCAAAGTAGTGAGCAGCTGAGGGCAGTGCGGCAAAACCCATTGTTGTACTGTACTTCTGCACTCCCACATCTATGCTCCTCACCTTCACCAACGTGCACTGATTGATGAAGTGTGCTCAAATAACCCTGTGGACCTGCACGGTGTGTGAAGGTCCTCATCGAGCAGTCGACTGAGCCGTGCCAGGACCGTACCGAGCCAGCCCAGAGCAGCTCAGGAGGCGCCAGGTTGATTTTCCACTGCAGAACCCGTGCCGATGACATTTTATCCCCGCCCCTGGCCCTGCTTGGCCCCGAGCTAGATTCTTATGTCTTGTGAGGGCAGCATTTAAGGGTTTGGTTTCATTGCAGTACTTCAGGCAGCCAGGGGAAAACCATCTGCATTGCGAGATGCTCAGATGTGCCGGTATAAAAAAGGGTACGGGTGTCACCTTGATTATTGCAGATGCTCGCAGGAGAAATTGGCTTCGCTCCGAGCCTGAAAGCCCCCTCCAGGACCCCTCAAATGCCTCTCGGGCATCCTTCACGGCCGCCTGAACGTCCATTGCGCCAGATGCCTGGCCTCGGCAAAGTAGGCCACCTGTCAACACAAAGAGAACAGCACCTTCGGCGGTGGGCACTGAACAACAGCATTTACGTGACTGATTGAGAAATGAGCGAGACCACGAACCTGTAGCAGGGTTGACGACGTCAAACTCTGGCCCACCGGTCGACTTATCAGGGATCGTCTGTCGGCCGTGCACAAAGTTGAGCTGTGCAGGTGAGTGAGCCGCCGCCGCTGCTGATGCTGCACAAGGGCTGTACAGGGAGAGTAGCCTGGCAGTAAGTGACCCTGAAGATGCCATCCCTGCACGCATGAGAGGCACGACACTCGCCGCCTTCACACAGCAGCGGCAGCGGCACAAGCCAGGGGAACGGTTAGGTGTGCCACTCACAATTCGATCAATATGAGCCGGCTTTGTTTGTGGAAATTATTTGGTGATTCTGCTGTTGCTGCTGCTTTGGCAGTCGTGTACAAGCACGATGGCCTTAAAAGAAAAATATAGTCGGCGATGTTTCAGGCAATGGCCCTTCTCCATGACACATACGTGAACATTTATTTTTCCACCGCACATAAATAAACGTTTCGGGCACAGGTCCTTCTTCATGAATAAATAAATATTTCCATACTTATTTACGTGCTATGAAGAAGGACCTGTACCTGAAACGTCACTTATTATATATATTTGTGTAACTGACGAATGTTTTTGTTCTATATTCAGGGATTAAGCTGATTATAGTAATAGGTTTTTACCCTTTCAACTGGTATAATATATGACACCTTCATACAAGATATCATGTTTGCAATAACCACAACACAAGCAGTCAAAATGCAAACAAAAAGAAACTCTGATAATGATATGCACTGTCCTTGAAGTTGATTGGTCCACACCCGAGACAGCTTTTCTTAGAGCCTAGTCTCCATTGGTGTTGGACCAGATGATGCCAAAAGGCGTACAACTCAAAAACAGCGCACTATCAGAGTATTGAGAGCTCGGGGTAAGCATTTACACTATGAGACCTCCTTTACCAGTGGCAAAATATAGTAATAGGTTTTTACCCTTTTAACTGGTACAAAAACTGACACCTTTATACAAGGGATCATGTTTGCAATAACCACAACACAAGCAGTCAAAATGCAGATGGCATCATCTGGTCCAACACCAATGGAGACTAGGCTCTAAGAAAAGCTGTCTCGGGTGTGGACCAATCAACTTCAAGGACAGTGCTTATCATTATCAGAGTTGCTTCTTTTTGTTTGCATTTTGACTTCTTGTGTTGTGGTTATTGCAAACATGATCCCTTGTATAAAGGTGTCAGTTTTTGTACCAGTTGAAAGGGTAAAAACCTATTACTATATTTTGCCACTGGTAAAGGAGGTATCATAGTGTAAGCTGATTATATTTATTGATTTAAAGCAGAGTAGTGGTGTGTGTGTGTGGGGAGAGCGGTGGCGCAGTGGTTAGCGCACTACACGACGAACCCGGCTCTCTCTCAAGTTACGATTCCCGTTCACGGCCAACATCCAGTGACGAAAATCTGAACCCGTCGCGGGACTCCCCCTTGGTCGACTCAGCCTTAAAACGCGTACCCGGTGCGGCGCGCACACATTAGCACCGGGGAGACAAAGGCGGCCGGGCGTGGTTGTTGTTAGACACCCATGAAACCCCTCGTGCGCCGTAGCCGGCCCACACCGCTGCTGCTCGCTGAAACACCAAGGGATCACGACCTTTGTCGTTGCAACAACGTAACGCGACACACTTTAATGACAGACCCGTTCTTTTGTGTTAATCTTCGAGCCGTGCGGCTCGCTGCGTTGGTATTTGACCATATTTGACCATACTTCACCACGCTGGTCAGTGGTGGTGGTGGTTCGAGAGAGAGAGTACGGTACAACGTGTGTGCATCTTCTTGGTTCTTTCGGTACAGTCACGTAGAATTGAAATAAAACGTAATAAAATAAATATTTTATTACGTTTTATAATTATTTTAGTATGTTTTATTTTTATTATTTCAAATCTACGTGACTTTACCGAAAGAACCAAGAAGATGAATCCCTGCAGTCACGAAAGCTTTAAATCGAAATTTAACGTGTGTGCAGTTATTGCACGCGCACACGACATGGTCGATAAAGTGACAGTACTCACAACGAAGGGCTTTGGCAGCAGGGGTGGCTTGGCTTGAGATCTCAGCAGTGAATCGTGCTGGGGCAACAGCAACGATTGGAGCTATTCTGATGTTGCCTTACTTATGACGGCTCTTTCTTTGTGAAGACAACAACACAGAGAGACCACGATAATTTGGAAGTCAAACCCCCTGCCGCAGTGAATTATAAGGCCTCAATTGTGAGGCCTTGTTCAAGTTTATGTATTTGGTATAGCCCTGTGAGCCATTCGGCTCTTGAATCGGGTGCAACCGCAACAAACATGAACAAGAAAACGTCTTAAAGTGACTTTGTGCAAACAGAAAATCCAAGAAAAGACAGCAAAATATTGCAGAAAAAGCACAAATCCCAGTGGGATGCAAGTCAAACAACAACAACCACAAGACAACTTAGATTAAAGCCATCAGTCTAACTCTGTACTACAACAAACAAACATGGCCAAACCAAAAAACTTCTCGAAATCACCAAAATAAAGCCATAAAATTGATGTAACAGTGATCATAGGAACTGTGACCGAATTTTCACAATAAACCACGTGAAGAACATGTACAGTACCACCAAACCCTGCAGCCATAGCTGACTGCATGAGTCACTTAATATTCACAACCCTCAGCGAACTTTAAGTTATTAAATCTGCCCTGCCAGGGCAACAGACATTGTTATTATTATTATTTATATTGCCAGTTTGTTTGCAAGTCATTGGACGGAAGATGAAATGTTATAGAAGGACATTTACGTTTTCTTGTGAGATTCAGCCGCTGAAAGGGGGAGGGGGCCTCTTTGCCAGTGACGTCACGTACGGATGTTGCACTGAGCGGCGTATATTTTTTTTTTACCGTCACTTTCTATAAAGAAACGTCTGCGTAGATGTATTTATTTGAATAACTTTCAATAAATAAACGTCAAATTTAAAGCGAATTTGCGTAAACTTTTTTTCATTTCCGCTCGACCTTATACGGGAGTGTGAAAATCAACCCGCTCATGAATATTAATGAGGGGGGTGGGCCTCATGTAGAGTGACGTCACGCGGGGGGGGGTGGGCCTCATGTGGAGTGACGTCACGCGGGGGGGTGGGCCTCATGTGGAGTGACGTCACGCGGAGGGGGTGGGCCTCATGTAGAGTGACGTCACGCGGAGGGGGTGGGCCTCATGTGGAGTGACGTCACGCGGGGGGGGTGGGCCTCACATGGTGTGACGTCACGCGCGGGACACGCAATCCCGGCTCCCAGCTCACTCCCACTCGCTCTGCCACCAACAACCCCCCGAACCTTTTCCGGCCCCCGCCCTCATCCCCTGCCGACGTGGCCCCCGCTCTCCCTTCCGGCCCCCACCCTCCCCTTCGCTGCGCCCCTCCCACCCTGAACACGTGGACGGGGCTCCACACACATCCAGTAGCCCCCCCCCCTCCCTTAGCTGGTGCTGCTTCCCTGCAGCGATATATTTAACTGGTAGGAACCTCCTGGTTACACCAGCCCACAGGGGATTCTTGTGTCCGTCCGTCGTGCATCCAAAAATGGGAGGGGTGGGGCTGGGTGGAGAGAGGAGGGTGGGGAGGGGCTGGGTGGGGCTGGGCTGGGTGGGGAGGGGATGGTGGGGCTGGGAGGGGCTGGGTGGGGGTAGGGAGGGGAGGGTGGGGAGGGGCTGTGTGGGGAGGGGCTGGGTGGGGAGGGGAGGGTGGGGCTGGGAGGGGCTGGGTGGGGGTAGGTGGGGAGGGGAGGGGCTGGGTGGGGAGGGGAGGGTGGGGCTGGGTGGGGAGGGGCTGGTCACGCCGTGGTGCCCTTATAAAACTCAACGTTTAACCTACTCATGCCGGCTTGTGCCCGCCCTCACAGTCGGGCATATTTGCGGAATACACCACGCCGCCGTTTACCCTGGAAATTGACCGAGCAACCCAACGTTCCTACCAGCTCCCTCCGCAGGAATGTGTTTAAAATGTATAAATATTGTATTTTTTGGTTATTATCTTTGAACCTATCTACGTGACTTTACCGAAAGACTCAAGAATATAACTCAGTTTTCTTCACCTGGTAATATAACAAAATTTTTATTTTATTTGTATATATTTGCACTCCGAACATGTTTTTGGTATATTTAATTGTAATTTTCTGACCCGCTCCTACTGGACATATGTGAAAAAGAGCTTTATAGCTCATCGGATTCCTCCAGTATAAATCATTCTGATTCTTGATGATGTTATTACGGCTGCAGCACACTAGGTGACGTTATTTTAGTGGCTCAGAACGCAGACCCAGCGAAACAGCAGGACTTGTTCTTAATCATCATCACCGCCAACCATGCTCATTGCACAGCTGGTATGAAGTCCTCCCAAAGTTATTGCCACCTCTCAAGATCAACTTTCTTACTATGGTTGAAACTCCCCTTATCCGCGGACCCTATTACCCACCCGCAAGTCGTATTGTTTGTGGCCACAACACAGTTGGCGAAAAATCCTTTAACCCAAAAAATGTAGTATTTTTCCTATTTTTTGTGGGATTGACCCAGAAGTGGTGGCACATTCATGCCAGTACTGCACTGTGTCCGCGTTTCACTGCAGATGAGTGAGTCAGAAGCTGTCTCCTGGAAGCACAATAGTCGTACTGTTATCCACGTGATTTTCTGTGGATATAAGGAGTCATCTTGAAGGGGTGTTAAAGTGGTCCTATTGTCCATAATTATCTGCTGAAATCTGCACGGATATGGGGAGTTCATCTCGTGGAAAGAAGCATACAATACGAACTACAAATATAACCCAAAACCCCATATTGACTGTGAATAAGAAGAGTATATCTCTACTGTGTGAAAGATGTGATTTGTATGCTGATTTAGAGCCATTGCCCGAAACATCACCAGTTACACACGTGTTATTTTCTTTTTAAGGCAGTGTTTTCGACAAATGAACGTGTTGGGTTATTTTGTGTTCCTTGTGCTGGTGCACCGCTGTCAACGGCATCACCAAATAATTTGTATTAAATATGAGATTTTTGTTTCGGTTTTCAGTGACCCACAGAAGGACATAGCTACGACATGAGCTCACAGTGAATGGTAATCGCCAAGTGGTCAGTGACCCTTTGTTGTGTTTAAATAATAATCGATCATCTACGGCTTTGATCCACTGCTACAATAAACACCTCCTCACATAAACGTCGCTTATGGGTTGTTTGTCTGACAATGTCACCACGTTGACAAGTGCATACAGCTACCAATACAATTTCCAGAGTTGTGTTAGCATTGACCAACAAAAGCACACAATTCTAGATTTGAAGTTTTCGTGACTGCAAGGATTCATACGCTTTGGTTTTTTCGGTAAAGTCACGTCGGTAAAAAAACTAAATTAAATCACGACGTTTCGGAGGCAACACATGCTTCCGTCTTCAGGTGGAACCGTTACAGCTAAATTCACAAATTCACTCCGAAACGTGATTTAATTTAGTTGTTTTTTAATTTTTTTTCATTTTTTCACAGTGAATTTGGCTGTAAAGATTCCACCTGAAGACGGAAGCTTGTGTTGCCTCCGAAACGTCGTGATTTAATAGTTATAGTTAACGAGCGCTGCCCTTTATCTCAATTGGCCACTGTCTTCTCTGCTGTAATGCTAATGGCCATTATTGCACAGAGTTGAAACAAACAAGAAACATCTCCATTGTTCAAACTTCTTGCAGGAGTTGTCAAGAAGCACACATCACATCAACAGTTATCCAGTGCAATTGTTTACAGCCCATTTGTCAATCTATTTCTGGATGAAGGCCTCCGCATCTCGTGTCGTCCGTGGGGATTGTTTGACCATACTTCACCACGCTGGTTAGTGTGGGTTGGTGAAGGGAGAAGAAGAAGCCAGGAGCTTTTTCAGATATCGCTCGTCACATTATTTGTGAACCACTGTGCTTTAAAACATCAAGGATGATGATGATGAGAACCTACAAACCTAGCACGTTTCATATATCCGCCTTCCATCCGAATGCATTTCTACTTTCTCATTTGAACATTGAACTCAGAAACAATCACTTTCCCGTTTCCTTACACCACAAGTCAAACAAAAATCCCTCTGTCCTTTCCTGAGAGTTTAGAATCCTTAAAGCAACACATTTTTAACATACAAAGAGGATAGATAACCTTACCTTTAGGTGCTGAAACAGGAGGCAGCTGTTCATAGCTTGAAAAGCTACTTTAATATAAACTCTTGTTGTATGTCAGCTCTATGCAGCCCAGCACCGAGTGTGTACAAATGGTTAATGAGTAATACATTTGTGTTGATAAAATATCAAAGTTCAGGTGGATTTTTTTCCAGACTAAGCATGTTTAAGGCAGTGCCCAAAGCGAGGTGATGTGTAACCCTGTATGTGTCCGGGAAATGATCACCAGACAGTGCAGACACTACCCAGGCAGCTTTTGCACGGGAGTAGTCCTGAAATCATCATATTTATTTCTGATTATTTTTGACCACATGAGGGTTCTAAAATATTTCAGCTATTCTATAAAAAATGAAAATTAGAAATCACTCCAATATAACAATCCTGACCAAATCACCATGGAAGTGGCCAATCTTTCGTACTTCTGATTAGCACGGTTGGCTACGTACGGTGTGAAAGAAGTTCAACATACATATAATTTTGTTAGATTTCATAAACCTCTCAGGATTGAGCCTGGCTAGTACAGTGCTTGCATGAGTGACTGCCTGTGAACACGAGGTGTTTGTAGGCATGGACTGCAAGATGGGCCGGAGATGGCAGCACAGCAATTGATTCTAGAATATATATTTTAGGGGCTTTGAGGCTTAATTCTTGTATGTGTGGGTTTTCTCTGGTTACTCTAGTTTCACCCACATACCAAACACTCATTCATGGAATTTGCCAAATATCCAAATGCAGCACCGTCCTAAATTGGAGTCTAGAGATTCAATGAGAGTTTCATGTGTACAGGGCATTAAAAAATATATAATTACTTTTCTCTGCCAACATTTTCTGCCAGCTTGCTACACAACAGCTGTTGTAACACTCCAGAAAAAGGGTGTATTTATTTTTAACTTTAACTTATTTTTGGACACAAGGTACGCTAGCTGGGTCAACTACCGCAACAGATATAGCAGGAAGTGTCAGCCTGGCCAGGCAACAGCAGCCAAAACCCTTTAGCGCCGCACTACTCAGAACATATTTTAAGCAGCAATCTGCCAGCCAAGCTCCTTGCACTAATTTTGCGATGTATGTTTTTCGAATACATCCAGTGGCCCCGATATGAAACCTCTTATTGCTGCAGCAGCCCATGTCAACTGCTGCTCCCCCTCTACGTATTTTTGCACACAGCGTTGGTGTACGGTGCCTTTTCTGCAATATTTTGCTGTATTTTCTTGGATTTTCTGTTTGCACATAGTCACATAGTCACTTTAAGGTGTTTTCTTGTTCATGTTTTTGTTTTTTGTTTGTTGCGGTTGCACCCGATTCAAGAGCCGAATGGCTCACAGGGCTATACCAAATAAATGAAACTGAAAACTGAAACTACGGAAACATTGCA